GACTGTTAAAAAAACCGATTGACCAAAAAGTAGAAAATTATTAAAACAAAACCTTTACTTGTTTTATTTTTTAATGCAATAAAAATACGACAGTATGTGTAAGACACCAATTCATTGGTTAAATCTTTCGTTTATAGCTAAAGAAAATGTGATAGAAACTTTAAAAGCGAATAACGAAAGCTTTTAGTGCTTACATCATGAGCTTTTTATTATAAAGGTTTTAATAGTGGCTTGATTTAAACCTTAAAATATTTTTTGAGATCAAAGGGACATAACCGAAACAAAACAATATTTTAAGGTAAATCGGAGTTATTTCCCTATAAACACCCCTGTCAACTATGTAAGGGATATAACAAGTAAATAAAATATTTTGTGGGAAATCTAAGTTGTTTCCCTTTAAAAAACCTTTTTTTTGAAGTTTTTTAATCTAAGGGACATAACAAAATAAATAAAATATCTGTAGGTTAACCGGAGTAGCCTCCTATTAAAAATCATTCGGATATAGTGGTAACATGTATTTAACTGGTGCATATGGATATTCCTATGCAGTTTCTTTCAGGCATCTCTTCTCTTCACATGCACTCAACCAGTGTATTTCATAGATTGGGTTTTGTCCATGTTTTGAAAACCATGTTTAAAGTATTTTATCCTTCTAAACTAATAAACAAGGACCTTGTTAAAAAAAAAGGTTCTATTTTTGGTCCCAGTAAAAATGTTAAAATGCCACGGATTACAATGATCTAACATCAGTTAAAAACACGTTCGCCCAAACAGGGAAATAACTCCTGTCTTGTGACGCTGCTGTGTGGATTTTGTTGGCTAGTCCGGAATCATGGTTTACTGGTCATGTTTTTCTTCATTGTCGGCTTTCATGTGCACCGTGTCGGTTTTTATGTGCATCGTGTCGGCTTTATGTGCACCGTGTCGGCTTTTATGTGCACCGTGTCGGCTTTTATGTGCACCGTGTCGACTTTTATGTGCACCGTGTCGGCTTTTATGTGCACCGTGTCGACTTTTATGTGCACCGTGTCGACTTTTATGTGCACCGTGTCGACTTTTATGTGCACCGTGTCGGCTTTTATGTACAACGTGTCGGCTTTTTGTCTTGACCTCCTCCTCTAGTTTGATGTGGTTGAAATATTAATCCGACCAGTACTTTGCCCACTCTAAAGGAAGTTATCTGCCGCTTCTTAGTTTGTGGCCGACAGTTATCTGCCCCTTCTCAGGTTGTGGCCGACAGTTATCTGCCCCTTCTTAGTTTGTGGCCGACGCTAAGCATGAAATCAACCAGCCGTTACAAACAGTTGACCGTTGTCGGCTGAACGAGCAAGTATTTTAGCTCCCCTTCAATTATTGACTCCAGTCATTTTAAATTTAATGTTGATGACTAAACTAATGTCTTCTTAGATTTACAAAAAAGAAATTCTTGCATTGTCACCGCAGACAATTGTATCTGTGTGTGTGTCAAAGTTTGAATTATAAAAACACAAACACAAATTAACCAAGATTAGTTAAGAATGAAATTCATTTTTTTAATGTCTCTTCAGTAAATAAAACTGTTAGCCCCGAACGAAACTTGTCAGAGTTTGGCTGAGCTGGACACGCCCCACAATGGTTGCAGCAAACACAAGCCACGCCCCTGTCTTGATGGACCACGCCCCTGTCCTGATGGACCACGCCCCGTTGGTTGAGTGTGGTCGGCATTGGTCTGTGAGAACCAACTTGTTGAAAAACTTTTGCTCTGACAGGCAGTCTCTGTGGAACCAAACGTTAGACAGTGTGGGCAGTCTGTGTGGAACCAAACGTTAGACAGTGTGGGCAGTCTGTGTGGAACCAAACGTTAGACAGTGTGGGCAGTCTGTGTGGGACCAAACGTTAGAGTTAGACAGTGTAGGCAGTCTGTGTGGAACCAAACGTTAGTGTGGGCAGTCTCTGTGGAACGTTAGACAGTGTGGGCAGTCTCTGTGGAACGTTAGACAGTGTGGGCAGTCTGTGTGGAACCAAACGTTAGACAGTGTAGGCAGTCTGTGTGGGACCAAACGTTAGAGTTAGACAGTGTAGGCAGTCTGTGTGGAACCAAACGTTAGTGTGGGCAGTCTGTGTGGAACCAAACGTTAGAGTTAGACAGTGTAGGCAGTCTGTGTGGAACCAAACGTTAGACAGTGTGGGCAGTCTGTGTGGAACGTTAGACAGTGTAGGCAGTCTGTGTGGAACCAAACGTTAGACAGTGTGGGCAGTCTCTGTGGAACGTTAGACAGTGTAGGCAGTCTGTGTGGAACGTTAGACAGTGTAGGCAGTCTGTGTGGAACCAAACGTTAGGGTTAGACAGTGTAGGCAGTCTGTGTGGAACGTTAGACAGTGTGGGCAGTCTGTGTGGAACGTTAGACAGTGTAGGCAGTCTGTGTGGAACCAAACGTTAGAGTTAGACAGTGTAGGCAGTCTGTGTGGAACGTTAGACAGTGTGGGCAGTCTCTGTGGAACCAAACGTTAGTGTGGGCAGTCTGTGTGGAACCAAACGTTAGAGTTAGACAGTGTGGGCAGTCTCTGTGGAACGTTAGACAGTGTGGGCAGTCTGTGTGGAACCAAACGTTAGACAGTGTGGGCAGTCTCTGTGGAACCAAACGTTAGACAGTGTAGGCAGTCTGTGTGGAACCAAACGTTAGAGTTAGACAGTGTGGGCAGTCTCTGTGGAACGTTAGACAGTGTGGGCAGTCTGTGTGGAACCAAACGTTAGACAGTGTAGGCAGTCTGTGTGGAACGTTAGACAGTGTGGGCAGTCTGTGTGGAACCAAACGTTAGACAGTGTGGGCAGTCTCTGTGGAACGTTAGACAGTGTGGGCAGTCTGTGTGGAACCAAACGTTAGACAGTGTGGGCAGTCTCTGTGGAACGTTAGACAGTGTGGGCAGTCTGTGTGGAACCAAACGTTAGACAGTGTGGGCAGTCTGTGTGGAACCAAACGTTAGACAGTGTGGGCAGTCTCTGTGGAACCAAACGTTAGACAGTGTAGGCAGTCTGTGTGGAACCAAACGTTAGGGTTAGACAGTGTAGGCAGTCTGTGTGGAACCAAACGTTAGAGTTAGACAGTGTAGGCAGTCTCTGTGGAACCAAACGTTAGACAGTGTAGGCAGTCTGTGTGGAACGTTAGACAGTGTGGGCAGTCTGTGTGGAACCAAACGTTAGACAGTGTAGGCAGTCTGTGTGGAACCAAACGTTAGTGTGGGCAGTCTGTGTGGAACCAAACGTTAGACAGTGTGGGCAGTCTCTGTGGAACGTTAGACAGTGTGGGCAGTCTGTGTGGAACCAAACGTTAGACAGTGTAGGCAGTCTGTGTGGAACCAAACGTTAGTGTGGGCAGTCTGTGTGGAACCAAACGTTAGACAGTGTGGGCAGTCTCTGTGGAACGTTAGACAGTGTGGGCAGTCTGTGTGGAACCAAACGTTAGACAGTGTAGGCAGTCTGTGTGGAACCAAACGTTAGACAGTGTGGGCAGTCTGTGTGGGACCAAACGTTAGACAGTGTGGGCAGTCTGTGTGGAACCAAACGTTAGACAGTGTGGGCAGTCTGTGTGGAACCAAACGTTAGACAGTGTAGGCAGTCTGTGTGGGACCAAACGTTAGACAGTGTGGGCAGTCTGTGTGGAACCAAACGTTAGACAGTGTAGGCAGTCTGTGTGGGACCAAACGTTAGACAGTGTGGGCAGTCTGTGTGGAACCAAACGTTAGACAGTGTAGGCAGTCTGTGTGGGACCAAACGTTAGACAGTGTAGGCAGTCTGTGTGGAACCAAACGTTAGACAGTGTAGGCAGTCTGTGTGGAACCAAACGCTAGACAGTGTGGGAAGTTGAGATCAAAAGACCGGAAAGATTATAATTAGATGAATATATTAATGTAGATCTAGTCATGTCAAGGCTGAAAAGATTATAAAATTAGATGAACATATTAATGTAGATCTAGTCATGTCAAGGCTGAAAAGATTATAAAATTTGATGAACATATTAATGTAGATCTAGTCATGTCACGGCTGAAAAGATTATAAAATTAGATGAACATATTAATGTAGATCTAGTCATGTCAAGGCTGAAAAGATTATAAAATTAGATGAACATATTAATGTAGATCTAGTCATCTCAATCTATTTGGTACATGCTTGTCACATTGTGATTGTGGGCCTGATGTCTTTTGATTACAAAGTCTATTCACTGGCGTCGCTAGGTCGGGTGTCACCCGGTGCGGCACTTCATGGTGTCACTAATTAATCATTAATTGAACTGGCAAAAAGAAATTTCTTCTATACATTTTGCATCTTTTCGCCATGGTGTCACACCTTTAAAATGGTGACACCCAGTGCGGACCCCCCCCCCCCGCCTCCTGCTCGCGACGCAGTGTATTCAATAGGTTGTAATATTTTAGTGTATTATTGGCTATGAAATATCTAGAAGCTCCTTTTATACAGAGTTTCTTCTAGGCAAATCCCCCCCCCCCCCCCCCCGAATTTTTTTTACCGCCCCCCCCCCCGAACGAAATGAAATTTATATAATTTATATAGAAAATATATACTTTCAACAGTGTTCGCCCCCCCTCCACGCAGAAAGTCCTCCGCCCCCTCCCCCCCCCCCCCCCGAAAATTTCAAGTGCCCCGGAGAAAAAAGTCTGGAAGAAACACTGCTTTTATAATCTACCGAAATTCTTTAAGACAACCAATCAAATACTTGGCCATAACTCACGTGCTAAGTGGTCACGGGTATAAGCACAATATTGTGTTTGTGTGTTTGCGTGTTTGTGTCTCTGTGTGTTTGTGTGTTTGTGTTGTCTCGCGTGTCAGCCCCAAAAAGAAATTGTGTGACTTGGGAGGAAATCTACTCACGCGCCAAGGCGAGCAAATTTGTAGAGGAAAAAAGCCTCGAACGTTTCGTTACAGTTGGTGTACTGGGCTTGGATACACTTTATGTAGTCTAGTGACAGTCTGGGGAACAGAAACAGGGAACATGTTAGAGGTTTGATTACATTTGGTGTACTGGGCTTGGATACACTTCATGTAGTCTAGTGACAGTCTGGGGAACAGAAACAGGGAACATGTTAGAGGTTTGATTACATTTGGTGTACTGGGCTTGGATACACTTCATGTAGTCTAGTGACAGTCTGGGGAACAGAAACAGGGAACATGTTAGAGGTTTGGTTCCATTTGGTGTACTGGGCTTGGATACACTTCATGTAGTCTAGTGACAGTCTGGGGAACAGAAACAGGGAACATGTTAGAGGTTTGGTTCCATTTGGTGTACTGGGCTTGGATACACTTCATGTAGTCTAGTGACAGTCTGGGGAACAGAAACAGGGAACATGTTAGAGGTTTGGTTCCATTTGGTGTACTGGGCTTGGATACACTTCATGTAGTCTAGTGACAGTCTGGGGAACAGAAACAGGGAACATGTTAGAGGTTTGGTTTCATTTGGTGTACTGGGCTTGGATACACTTCATGTAGTCTACTGACAGTCTGGGGAACAGAAACAGGGAACATGTTAGAGGTTTGGTTCCATTTGGTGTACTGGGCTTGGATACACTTCATGTAGTCTAGTGACAGTCTGGGGAACAGAAACAGGGAACATGTTAGAGGTTTGGTTCCATTTGGTGTACTGGGCTTGGATACACTTCATGTAGTCTAGTGACAGTCTGGGGAACAGAAACAGGGAACATGTTAGAGGTTTGGTTCCATTTGGTGTACTGGGCTTGGATACACTTCATGTAGTCTAGTGACAGTCTGGGGAACAGAAACAGGGAACATGTTAGAGGTTTGGTTCCATTTGGTGTACTGGGCTTGGATACACTTCATGTAGTCTAGTGACAGTCTGGGGAACAGAAACAGGGAACATGTTAGAGGTTTGGTTCCATTTGGTGTACTGGGCTTGGATACACTTCATGTAGTCTAGTGACAGTCTGGGGAACAGAAACAGGGAACATGTTAGAGGTTTGGTTCCATTTGGTGTACTGGGCTTGGATACACTTCATGTAGTCTAGTGACAGTCTGGGGAACAGAAACAGGGAACATGTTAGAGGTTTGGTTTCATTTGGTGTACTGGGCTTGGATACACTTCATGTAGTCTACTGACAGTCTGGGGAACAGAAACAGGGAACATGTTAGAGGTTTGGTTCCATTTGGTGTACTGGGCTTGGATACACTTCATGTAGTCTACTGACAGTCTGGGGAACAGAAACAGGGAACATGTTAGAGGTTTGGTTCCATGTGGTGTACTGGGGTTGGCCATGATTGAGATAAAGACGGAGACGTAGCGACCCTTCCCGGCGCCTGGGGACAAACTTTCAATTTGGCGCCCCCTCGCTCGCATCAACCTTTCAATTTTAGATTTGCACCCCCCCGTCAAACTTTCAATTTGCACGCCCCCTCTCAAAGTGTCGATTTGCAACCCCCTCATACATTATATATGTTACGGTCAAAGCCCGAAGTGCGGCCGAAGCGCGTATTGGCCGGCGAATGCGCGCATGGGCCGGCTCTCTTGGCCAAAGCCCGAAGAACTTAGCTCTAAGATCGTATTTCGTACATTTGCCGGCCAATGCGCGCACTGGCCGGGATGTCCTGGCCAATGTTTTATCTAGACTAAGTTGTGATCGCGTTTTCATTATTCTGGGTGCGGTTTCATTGAGAGTAACGTATTGTTTAGCTCTTGTTTGTATAGCATTCTATGTGCAAGGCGACATGTATCAAAAGGGCCGTCAGACCATAAGACAGACATAGCAGATGGCTGTCAAAAGAAAAAAAAAATGTAAATCCATGTTAGTTTCTATATATGGGCTACAACTGTATGTGACAGCCTCCTCCTTGATGACAATCATCAAAGAACAAAATCAAAGACATTCGGCGTCACCGACCACGTGCAACAAGACGGAACGTTCAAAAGACTTTGCAGCCTTTCACCATAGTGTCCAAGCGACTTGAGATGGCGTGGGCGTCAGAAACCAGATCTTGAGAACATTGAACAAGAAATGGAGGTTGCCATAAATGCAACGACTTCCTCGGCTAACACATCTGCTGCCGTGGCGGAACGTCCAGACCAGTTGCGTGACAATAATGTGACCAACAGATTCTGTATAGTTTGTGAAAAACATTGTAGTGCATCTCATTCTTGTGGATCCTGTAGCAACGATGTCCATGCTATGTGTGGAATACTCAATGAAGCAGACAAAGGTTACGGAGGTAATATTACCTGCAGATTGTGTCACAACAAACAAGACATCATGGAACACAGGTCAGCAGCTCATACTAGCTTGCAAAATCAAGGTGCTAAGATGCTTAAAACATCAAATACAAAATTTAAAGATGCCGATGTGGGTCACAATGTACGCATCCGTGTTCCAGATGTTGACAGAGGTCACGGTGATCCCCGAAGCGTGATTGCAGTTGTCATGAGCGTCGAGGGCGGTTTCTACAAATTAGGAACGGAACATTGTGTTCTAAAACAACTATATGCTAGAAGTGAGTTTTCAATTCTTCACGAAAAACTGCTCTTATTGTCGTCAGTTGGCACTGAAGAAAAATCACTAAGAAACATCGCATCTTCACAATCATTGAATGGGGCCAAGGCTACACTCGCTGCAATTGCACAACTAAGTGCACAACAAATCGCTGCAAGTGTAAAAATAACAAGCTACTATGTAATTCTAAATGCCATAAACGTTCAACTTATTGTAACGAATGATAATATTGATTGATTGAGACTATAGTACAATAAAAATTTTGAATGTTTCTGTCATTTACTTTAATGAATAATCCTTACGGCATAAAAAAAAAAACGAAATCTGCACATGATCTTCTAATTCGGACTTTCGCCAATCGTCCCTAGCCAGATGATCTTCTAATTAAGACTTTGGCCGGTCCACCATGGCCAGTCCGAAATCAAGCAAAGTTTCGGACTTTGACCGGTCAATGGGAGGCGATATTGGCCAATGCTCGCATTGGCCGGCCAATCCGCGCATTGGCCGACTTCGGGCTTTGACCGTATATATATATATATATATATATATATATATATATATATATATATATATATATATATATATATATATATATATATATATATATAAAGCAAAAATGCAGCTAAAAAGAGATTTTAATTTGTTTTTCCAACCCATTTTGGCGCCCCCTCAGGTCGGCGCCGGGGACATATGTACCCCCCTTCGCTACGCCTCTGGATAAAGATTGTTACATCATAAACTCACTTGCATGAATGTTTCTTTATGTCCGCTTCGTTATTGGAGGCAACGGCCGCTGTTAGATCTTTTAGTCCGGCCTCTGAGTTGGCTTCGATCTCGCACTGTCCAGTGTTGGCGTTCCTCTCGCAGTCGATGAAGTTGTTAACGTCATTCAAGATGAATCTGTATACTTCAGGGCACCAATGGTTCAAGACATGACATTTTATAACAGTAGTTCATGAAATGACATTTTATAACAGTAGTTCATGACATGACATTTTATAACAGTAGTTCATGACATGACATTTTATAACAGTAGTTCATGACATGACATTTTATAACAGTAGTTCGTGACATGACATTTTATAACACTTAACAAAATGACATTATTTTAAACGTGTGTTGTCCAACAAATATTTGCTGACCACCACAAATGCTGACCACTACAAATGCTGACCACCACATTTGCTGACCACCTTAAATGCTGACCACCACATTTGCTGATCACCACATTTGCTGACCACCACATTTGCTGACCACCACATTTGCTGACCACCACAAATGCTGACCACCACAAATGCTGACCACCACAAATGCTGACCACCACATTTGCTGACCACCTTAAATGCTGACCACCACAAATGCTGACCAGCACATTTGCTGACCACCACATTTGCTGACCACCACATTTTCTGACCACCACATTTGCTGACCACCACAAATGCTGACCAGCACATTTGTCTACTCACACTCCTGGACGCCTATTGTACAGTAGACGTAAGCCGCCCGCTTCAGGTCGTACTCGCTGGGGAAATGTTTCTCGAACAGTTTCACCGTGTAGGTCGTATCGCTGGAAGTTCTGGCTGAGAGGAGACAGTCAGTGTAGACATCCGCGTTACTGGGGAGGGATTAAAAGGATTAGGCCATGGTGATATCTGGATTAAAAGGATTAGGCCATGGTGATATCTGGATTAAAAGGATTAGGCCATGGTGATATCTGGATTAAAAGGATTAGGCCATGGTGATATCTGGATTAAAAGGATTAGGCCATGGTGATATCTGGATTAAAAGGATTAGGCCATGGTGATAGCTGGATTAAAAGGATTAGGCCATGGTCCAATTTGAAGATAGCAAAATAATAATATGGTGTATGGTTTCGTGCGAACACACCATAATGGCATCTCTGAGCCATCTCATGTGTTCATTGATTTTATCAACACTATTGGTCTTAGGGTTCGGGTTGGTTCCTATGTTGTGGGTCAGGGTTCGGGTTGGTTCCTATGTTGTGAGTTAGGGTTCGGGTTGGTTCCAATGTTGTGGGTTAGGGTTCGGGTTGGTTCCTATCTTGTGGGTCAGGGTTCGGGTTGGTTCCTATGTTGTGGGTTAGGGTTCGGGTTGGTTCCTATGTTGTGGGTCAGGGTTCGGGTTGGTTCCTATGTTGTGGGTTAGGGTTCGGGTTGGTTCCTATCTTGTGGGTCAGGGTTCGGGTTGGTTCCCATGTTGTGAGTTAGGGTTCGGGTTGGTTCCAATGTTGTGAGTTAGGGTTCGGGTTGGTTCCAATGTTGTGGGTTAGGGTTCGGGTTGGGTCCAATGTTGTGGCTTAGGGTTCGGATTGGTTCCTATGTTGTGTGTTTGCCTGAGAGTCTCCTGTATGCTTAATGTCCTGTCTAACCTACCCACAGAACCTGAGAGTCTATGCTTAATGTCCTGTCTAACCTACCCACAGAACCTGAGTCTCCTGTATGCTTAATGTCTTGTCTAACCTACCCACAGAACCTGAGAGTCTATGCTTAATGTCCTGTCTAACCTACCCACAGAACCTGAGAGTCTATGCTTAATGTCCTGTCTAACCTACCCACAGAACCTGAGAGTCTATGCTTAATGTCCTGTCTAACCTACCCACAGAACCTGAGAGTCTCCTGTATGCTTAATGTCCTGAAGGACGCCCTGTTGCCTTCAGGTAGTTTGGTGCTACAGTACTCGTCTAAAGTAAGGACCGCGCCAGCGCCAACAACTGTGGGTTAAAAAATTAGTTTAAAGCTTTATGTTCATAGATAGTTTTTAATGCACTTAACTGATAGACAGACGTGCAGACAGACCAAGGACCGAAAAACATTTTTTCTACATAAGTATGTATTTAAAATTGTACCCAAAATGTCTTGTTGTAGATAAAAAAAATTCAACATAAACATTGGGTACATATTTGTAGAAGATGTATACAATATGTTTCACAGTTGTTGTTTCTGTACTCACTTTGTGCCGATCCAGCCCAGCTGGCAAGGAATGTGAACGTTATTGCAAGTCTCACTAGATCCATGTTAACACATTTCTAACAACCATCAGACTTGGCTTATGTTTATTTTGCTTTCAACGCCAAGGCACGATGCAATCAAGAATACATTTTGGTGCGCACATCATACCAACTCATGGATGCACACCTTGAACTCATACGGTTTTAGGAACATAACTTACCCGTAAGGTTTTGACAAAGAAAAGGAAACTGATTATCAAAAGACATATCCTGGTAAGAAGCGTTGCAGCAAAATATACCAGACTCTTGTCGCTTGACATTTGTAGCAGTCAGTGAGATATTGACCGAGTAAGGATCAGGTAAACGGTCTTTATTCACTGTATCAGGGGCTCTTACTTTAAATGTCCAAAACTTTTTAATTGAAGACGGCCCGTCAGTCTCGTCTCGCTAAATAAATGCACACACGATTTTTTAAATTTAAGAATGCAATCTTGTTTTATATTCATATTTTTAATCCATAAATACGTTTATTAATATATATATATATATATATATATATATATATATATATATATATATATATATATATATATATATATATATATATATATATATATATCTTTAAAACTAAATATTTGTTTCATTTATCTTTAGCGTAGACGTCTCCTTGTCACTAAAGACCTACATCTCCTTATGCATTATGCTTAAAAAACTACTTACAATAAAAATATAGGGTTTGAAAAATCTGAATCTTGCATAACTTTTCAGTTCATCTATGCCATTTGACCATCCAATAGTCATAGCCAACAAGCCAAGATTCTGTCTTGGGATTTCAAGGAGGTCAGCGTTACATGACACTGTGTAGTCCCCACCTACGTTAACAACACTTGGATGGACTATTTTTCTGTTGGGATCTGTCACTGTGAGATAAGACAAACAGATTGTTAAAAATCAACAACATTTTTTTTTATAATCCAAATATATCGAACACGTCGGGCATATCAAAAGTTTTAATTAGAAGTTCACATTCCTGCATTAATTTTTCGCACCAAAAGTTCCAATAAGAAGGTCAGACTCCTTCATTTATTTTCCACACCAAAAGTTCCAATAACACGGTCAGAATCCTGCATTTATTTACCAAGGGTGCTGCTGAAATCATTAATGTCTTGTTTGGGTCAACATTTAAGTGCGAATAAGTGTAGAAAATTTAGTGACGTACCTTCATATTTTGACTAATTGCATACATTTTAAAAATGGACCCAATCGAGAATAGGCTGGAAGTTATTCGATAGCCCATTAATATTTTACAAATCAAGAATGGTGTAATTAAATTTCATATGTTATTAAAATCCTGATTGTTTTGTTTTTTGGGTGAATGTATTTGACGTTTATATTTTCGGTGATGAAACACAATTTCGTTTTTAAAAAGGCAAAAGCTATTTGGTTTTCACGTGACAATTTCAACATAAACTAAAACATAAACTAAAAATAAAAATCAATCACGGAATTTCTAAACAATCAACGAATGTTTATCTTACATTGTGAAACATCTTTTTTATTAACCGGGCTTGATGAAAATAAAGATAAATGTAGCTTTAAATACAAGAAATTATTTTCAAGTTCTCCGAAATTGCAACTTTTATAAAGTTGATTCTAAAAATATTACATTTCTGAATATTTTTAGGCTTAAGTTTCAATTTTGTTATTTTTACGGCCGCTGTGAAGTCAAAACGTTTTAAAACATGTATCCATGTCTACATAATGGTGGATTCTCGTGAGCTCGGAGGTGTCCTTGTAAAACGCCGCCATCAGAGTACTGAGGTTACTATTTGCATTTGTCGCAAGATATTGGGAAGTCATTGTTCTTGTAAAGCTACAATAGGTGTTTAGGCTAAAGGTTTAAAGCGTTTTTTTTCGGTTTGTTTCAGTTTCAATGTTAGAGTGATAGTTAATATATTTGTGCTGAATAGAAACACAATTTATATAAAGTTATGTATCTAGATCTACGCACCTAATTGTATTGTACTATGACATATTTAAATCACAGTTAATATTAAATGTCTTGATCTACATATCTACTAATATTGTGCTAGGAAAGATTTAATCACAGTTAATGTTAAATGTATTGATCTACATCTCTACTTAGATCTAGAGTCTATATTGTGCTATGAAAGATTTAATCACAGTTTATTGAAAGACCAACATGTACACCGCTATTTACTTTGAACTGCCACAGGCCAGCTAAACAACAACGTTATTGTAAATTCAATCAGATCCATGTTACTTTAATTATAATCAGCTCCATGTTAATGGCTATTCTCCATCTGCCGCAAATCCAACACTTTTTCAAGATTTATTGTTTATTTTATATCGAACGTAAAATCACGATGCAAACACGCGCTAAAATGTTCTCGTAGTAAATTAGGTGCGCACTCTTGTATCAAAAGCGTATCTAGATTTAGATCTAGTTTGTGATTTTGATTGTTCTGGTCAGAAAAATGTATTTTTAGGTAGATCAGTCAAATCTATTTGTCAAGGTCTATTTTTTTTGGAATCAAACAACTCTTAACATTTACTAACTATTAAATTGCAAGACAGTTGATACCACGTAAGACTTGCATTTAGAACTTGGGTTGGAAATCTTACGCCCTGCGGCTGTTTAAGAGTGGATCTCCTTACTAGATTAGTTTTATAGACTGAAAAAGCCATTGATGGTGTAGTCTGATAGGCAGTGTGGTAACTATTGAAATATTACGGTCCAAAATTTCCTTTATCCTAGTACCATACCATAACCTAGAATAGAGAGTAATACCCAGTGGGGCTAGTTGTAAGAAGTCTGTAATTAAAGTAACTAAAATAATGTAGATTTCAGACAAACTTGTTGACAGATTTCAGACAAACTTGTTGACAGATGTCAGACAAACATGTTGACAGTTGTTAGACAAACTTGGTGCTCTAAGACTTTTGTCTGACAACATCGGTACCCTGCTCTAAGACTTGCTCTTGTTTATTTCCTATTGAACACCATCTGCATAACTACAGCAGCACACTTTCAGTATTGTCCAAGTGACCTTGACACAATACTGTCATACGATCACGTGACACAATACTGTCCTACGATCACGTGACACAATACTGTCCTACGGTCACGTGACACAATACTGTCTTACGATCACGTGACACAATACTAACAGATAGCTATTTCACTCAACAGCTAACCGACACCAGTCCAAAATGTAACTGTCAGCATAAATTAAACAATGCATCAATTAAAAATCAAGTAAACAATAATTAACTGCTTAAACTTGTTAACGTTTTCCCCAAAGAGGCTTAAAAAATTTATAACAATCCTGGTCCATGTTTATTTAGAGATTAAACTTTTTAATGTTTTCATAGATAATACTTAAAAATAAAAACATTTTCTAAACTTATTTTGTTGCACCCAGCTACAGAAGATAGCCAAGAACTAAACAAGCCAGATTTTATCTGAGCATATGGACACGCCCTACACTATTAACAAAGGCTACAGCAAACATCAGCCACGCCCTTGTCCTGATAGACCACGCCCCTGTTCCGACTGACCACGCCCCGTTGGTTGAGCGTGATAGTGACGTGCACTTTTCTGTGAGAATCAACTTGTTGTAAAACTGGTGCTCCAATAGACAGTCTCTGAGAAACAAACCGTTAGAATCTGGTCAAGGCGAGATACAAACATTGGACGCTGAGGTAATTCAAGATACAAACATTGGACGCTGAGGTAAGTTAAGATACAAACATTGGACGCTGAGGTAAGTCAAGATACAAACATTGGACGCTAAGGTAAAGTAGAGAAAATTTGTTTTTCATGAAAACGTTTGAAATCTCCCCCAAAAACAAATCGTAAATTTCCATGTTAAGCGAAATAAATCAGCTAGATGTAATTGATGTAACTTACTGGCCAAGGCGAGCAAACTGATAGATAAAAAAGTCCTCAAAATCCTTATTACATTTGGTGTACTGGGCTTGGATACACTTCATGTAGTCTAGTGACAGTCTGGGGAACAGAAACAGGGAACATGTTAGAGGTTTGGTTCCATTTGGTGTACTGGGCTTGGATACACTTCATGTAGTCTAGTGACAGTCTGGGGAACAGAAACAGGGAACATGTTAGAGGTTTGGTTCCATTTGGTGTACTGGGCTTGGATATACTTCATGTAGTCTAGTGACAGTCTGGGGAACAGAAACAGGGAACATGTTAGAGGTTTGGTTCCATTTGGTGTACTGGGCTTGGATACACTTTATGTAGTCTAGTGACAGTCTGGGGAACAGAAACAGGGAACATGTTAGAGGTTTGGTTCCATTTGGTGTACTGGGCTTGGATACACTTCATGTAGTCTAGTGACTGTCTGGGGAACAGAAACAGGGAACATGTTAGAGGTTTGGTTCCATTTGGTGTACTGGGCTTGGATACACTTCATGTAGTCTAGTGACAGTCTGGGGAACAGAAACAGGGAACATGTTAGAGGTTTGGTTCCATTTGTTGTACTGGGCTTGGATACACTTCATGTAGTCTAGTGACAGTCTGGGGAACAGAAACAGGGAACATGTTAGAGGTTTGGTTTCATTTGGTGTACTGGGCTTGGATACACTTCATGTAGTCTAGTGACAGTGTGGGGAACAGAAACAGGGAACATGTTAGAGGTTTGGTTCCATTTGGTGTACTGGGCTTGGATACACTTCATGTAGTCTACTGACAGTCTGGGGAACAGAAACAGGGAACATGTTAGAGGTTTGGTTCCATTTGGATATACTTTATGGATACTTGTCTAATTTTAATGTTTTTTATCAAGATGCATTGATTTTACACTTCGACCTAGATCTATACTTAGTTACAAAAACTTGCGGTTGTGGTGCATTAAAGGCAGTCAAAAAATTTAACATAACCATAGACATGACGACAGTTATTATGAAAAAAGTGATGACAGACATGAAGACAGACGTTAGAAAAGGTAGTTGTAGTTTGATAAAATCATTTAAATCTGTTAAAGTTGAGAAAAATGCCACATAAAAACATTACACTTTTAGTATGTTTGTCAATTGTTTTAGCAATGTTTTTAAAAAATCAAGAAATGGTATGAGATCAAAAACAATAAACCTTCTTGAGGAAAGAATTCTGAAATCTCTTATTTTATATTGAAAGTAAAGAAACTAAAAGATTGAACCCACTTGCATGAATGTTTCTCGATATCCGCTTGGTTGTTGGAGGCAAAGGCTGCCGTTAAGTTTTGTAATCTCTCGGCCGAGGTGGCTTCGATCTCACATTGGTCAATGTCAGCGGACATCTCGCAGTCAATTAAAACTTTGTAGTCAAACGAAGCGAACTTTGACACTGCATGAAGTAATGACATCTGACAATACTGGTCACTTGTGTACACACTTTAAAATATTTGTACAAGACACGTGTTGAGTAGTTGTCAATTACATGACATTTTTAAACACTGACCCATGACATGACATTTTGTAACACTGATATATGACATGACATCTTGTAACGCTGAGCCATGACATGACATCTTGTAACACTGAGCCATGACATGACATCTTGTAACACTGAGCCATGACATGACATCTTGTAACACTGACCCATGACATGACAGCTTGTAACACTGACCCATGACATGACATCTTGTAACATGACTCATGACATCACATCTTGTAACATGACTCATGACATCTTTGTTTTGTTTTTGTTTAGATTATTTCCAGTAAGTTTTAGGGTTATGGTTAGTTTAGAAGCTCACCTCATATGAGAGCAAGAACTAAACATTCAAATACAAAAATGTTTACATCGGTGTACTATGTCGTGATGTGCTTATAATCTTTGTCTACTTGCAAACATACTTAAACAAACAACTACTTACAGATTTTGTTATGTCTGCTTACAACTTTTGTCTACTAACAACTTTTGTCTACTAACAACTTTTGTCTACTTACAACTTTTGTCTACTTACAAGTTTTGTCTACTAACAACTTTTGTCTACTAACAACTTTTGTCTACTAACAACTTTTGTCTACTAACAACTTTTGTCTACTTACAACTTTTGTCTACTTACAATTTTTGTCTACTAACAACTTTTGTCTACTTACAACATTTGTCTACTTACAGTATGTCGTGCCTTTGGTACATAGGATATATGCCGCACGCTTAAGATCGTACTCTTTAGGAAATTGTTTCTCGAACAATTTGACCATGTATGTCTGATCTGTGTGACTATCACGTCTTGAATCCAGGATACACTGACTATAGGTCTTTGGATTACTGAAGGGTGGGGGTGGAGGGTGGGGGATAGGGGGGAGGTCTGTCATTAGGTCTAGTTGCAAAATATTAAGGAGTTGATGTAATACTGAAACCGGTTTCCGAAGATAGAAGGTTTTTTTTTTTTTAAATTGAATCTTGTTACAAAATGTATGGACATGTTTTACCTGCAGGATGTGTGGACAAGTTTTACCTGCAGGATGTGTGGACAGGTTTTACCTGCAGGATGTGTGGACAAGTTTTACCTGCAGGATGTGTGGACAGGTTTTACCTGCAGGATGTTTTGACAGGTTGTACCTGCAGGATGTGTGGACAGGTTTTACCTGCAGGATGTGTGGACAAGTTTTACCTGCAGGATGTGTGGACAGGTTTTACCTGCAGGATGTTTTGACAGGTTGTACCTGCAGGATGTGTGGTCATGTTTTACCTGCAGGATGTGTGGACAAATTTTACCTGCAGGATGTGTGGACAAGTTTTACCTGCAGGATGTGTATACAGGTTTTACCTGCAGGATATGTGGACAGGTTTTACCTGCAGAATGTGTGGACAGGGTTTACCTGCAGAATGTGTGGACAGGGTTTACCTGCAGAAACTGACAACGTTGAGTTCACTTAGTTTCTGGATGTGACCTCTACGGTACTCAGGCAACGTCTTGGTGCAGTGATTGTCCAGAGTCAATGTATCCAGGGACAAAACTAGCGGGAGAAATTAAGGTCAATGTATCCAGGGACAAAACTAGCGGGAGAAATTAAGGTCAATGTATCCAGGGACAAAACTAGCGGGAGAAATAATAATGAATAAACCGGGAGTGATCTCCCCTAAACTTTCTCGAATATTCTTATATAACTCGGAATATAGACACGATTATTAATTACTTAAACTTTTAAAAATTCATAAAAACGTTTTAATAACAAGCTTTTATGTCATAATGCACTAAAAAGTAGAAAATAAATAATAGACTACTATTTAAATAACTATAAAGAAAAGCGTGGGTGTCTTCCTTAACATTAGTAAAGGTATCCAATAGATACTAAAGTGACACACGCTTTTCTTTATAGTTATTTAAATAGTAGTCTATAATTTATTTTCTACTTTTAAGTGCATTATTACATAAAAGCTTGTTATTAAAACGTTTTTTATGAATTTTTTTTAGTACTTGACATGTTTTATTTACAACTAGGCATGCTGCCCTGCTTCGCTTAGGCTTTCAAAAACATTGATAATTTGAATGCTTAATTATTTCGCCTGAGGGTCGGTCTACGACCTCAGGAGTTATGAAGAGGTTCCTATGTGGACAAATTTTTTTCAATTTATAGCTCATTTAAGGCGCCGATCAGTCGAGGTCTGTTTTGACCTCCTCATCGTAGACCCTTAGGCCAACCGTCACCGGCCCCCGTGTTCTGTCGCCCCAAGGCAACATCCTGCCAAATTTGAAGCGCATGCGGCGCCGGGAAGTGCCCGATGTCGGGCACCCGACAACTTTGCTTAATATATTAATACTAATAGTTTCGCTGTCTGTCTATCTATCTATCTATCTATCTATCTATCTATCTATCTATCTATCTATCTATCTATCTATCTATCTATCTATCTATCTATCTATCTATCTATCTATCTATCTATCTATCTATCTATCTATCTATCTATCTATCTATCTATCTATCTATCTATCTATCTGACAAGAACGCTGTAGAGAAAACACAAGCAAAATAAAAACATGCACAGTAATTCTAAAAACGAAGTATGACGCGGTCACATTTAGCATAAAGTAGAAAATAATCTCAAGCACACATTGTGCACACAGTCATATGACGTCATTGATTATCGAGTAAACATTGAAAAAAAAGGAAATAATTTTGTCTAATCTAAATGGTTTGCGTGAAGAGTTTCTTGCATACAATTCTTCGGGTAGGGGCGAAGCCCCACCCCCCGCGTAAGAACGTCTGAGCCCCCCCCCCCCTCCCCAACTCAAAAGAAATTTCTTCATCGATACTCTATAATAAAATTACCGCCTAATTAATGTGTCTAATCTAAAAAGTGGTTTTCTTGCAATTTCTTTAATGCAATTCTTCGGGTAGTGGCTAAGCGCGACACCAGTGTTTCTTTCAGACTTTTTCCTCCCCGGAGAGGGGTGGGGGTACTTGAAATTTTCGGGGGCGGGTGTAGAATTTTCGGGGAGGGGGCGGACACTGGAAAAAGTATATAATTATATTTCGTTGAATGGGACGGTAGACATGTTTTTTTAGAGGGGGTGGGTGGGGGGTGTGGGGGGGGGGGGGGGGTGGTGTGGGTGGGTGGGTGGGGGGTGAGTGGGGGGGGGTGGTTTTAATTTAGACTTTTTCCTCCCCGGAGAGGGGTGGGGGTACTTGAAATTTTCGGGGGCGTGTGTAGAATTTTCGGGGAGGGGGCGGACACTGGAAAAAGTATATAATTATATTTCGTTGAATGAGACGGTAGACATTTTTTTAAGGTGGGGGGGGGGGGGGGGTGGGGGGTGGGGGGGTGTGTGTGTGGGGGGGGGGGGGTGAGTGGGGGGGTTTAATTTAGACTTTTTCCTCCCCGGAGAGGGGTGGGGGTACTTGAAATTTTCGGGGGCGGGTGTAGAATTTTCTGGGAGGGGGCGGACACTGGAAAAAGTATATAATTATATTTCGTTGAATGGGACGGTAGACATGTGTTTTTTTTTGGGGGTGGGGGGGTGGGGGTGGGGGGGGGTGGTGTGTGTGGGGGGTGGGTTGGTTTTAGTTTAGAGAAAAGAGACAGCACTATCAGCCTAGCGCCCGTTGTACCCTTCCTCAACGGGCCATTTTTCTCGTTATAGAGATTAGCAAATTGCATAGATAAACAAAGATTTCCAAAGTAGTTCCTTTCTTTATAGTCTAAAATAGGAAGATTTACATATAAAAACATAAATTAGGTTTGACTTGGTGTGTCTCGATCCAGCACCACCTGTATGGTATCAAGTACACTATCATCTCAGCTAATTAGGTACCTTATAAAATCTGGAGAATAAAAGAAGTGTTTTAAAAAAATACCTTTTTTTTCAAATTAATTTTTTTACCCAAAATTAGCCAGTAAGAATCCAAATAGATAAATTTTTTTTTTAAGTTTTGGCCGAGAATATCGTATTGTGTAGTCTACATTTCATAGCGTACATAGCTCTAAATCATATTTGAATGAAATAGTTCATTTTTTAAAATTCTAAACTGGGAAGATGACGTCATCAGTTGTGTGCTCTTTTTTGTGTAAACAATAAGCGACGTCATTGTTAAATGCGTTCTTGTCCCAAGTGTATACACTTTTCCGGTTGCATAAATAATACTGTTTCTCTACATTCGAATACGCCTTTATTTTTTATTTTTCTTCTTTAAATAAAATTGTGGTTATACATTTAAAACATCTAACATATTATTTTCAACAAAAGTCCGTATAAAGGTTTTCATATATCGCTGCCGATTCTGACGTGATGTCCGGCGAAAATATTTTGCGGACAGAGAGAGAGAGAGAGAGAGAGAGAGAGAGAGAGAGAGAGAGAGAGAGAGAGAGAGAAGTGCGAACGTGGGGTTTTATATATTAGGATAGAGATACATGACTAAAAACCATTGCGCGCCTACTGAACGTGATGGCGCAGCCATTGAACGTGATGGCGCAGCTATTGAACTTGATGACGCGTGTGGTGTGGTTGGATAGACATGCCTACTAATTCGGTCCAAATTTTAATTAATTCATAAAAAATTAATTAGGCATCCAATTAAGTCAAATTTAATTTCAGATTGCATTGTCTTCATGTCTTGACCCACGTGTCAAATGTGAATCGTATCGGTCAAGTAGAAGTGACCGAATTTTCACTCCTGCGTTTCGATCTAGACAGACTGACGACTGACGACAGAGGAAGCGAGTTAAATAAAAGCTTGTAAAAATAGAATAGAATCTCATAGAGAAAAGAATTGCGCACCAAGGAAACGCCGAAACAAAATGTGCATAATAGTGCGCAATATTATTAGTACTTTATAAATTTACTTGCGTTTTTTGAGAAATCGGAAATGGCGTAAATTAGTACTTCCAGTCAACGGAAATTACTCAAAATGTGACAGAAGGTAGAGAATTAGATATTTTACTTACATGTGAAATTTCATTTATCTATCTGAAATAGTACTCAAGCTATTAGGCTTTTTAAAAATTCAAAGTTTGAAAAAGTACAACTTCCAGTTATCGGAAATCTCTCAAAACTTGATACGGATCTACGATTTTGATAAAATACTTATATATGAAATTTCATCAACCTAGCTGTAACGGTACTCAAGTTATCGTGCTTACACACACAGAGACAGACAGACAGACACACAGGCATACGGACAAGATTGCAATATTATGTTTTTCCGTATCAGAGAGATATAAAACGTCGAGATTTGTTAAAATCTCGATTTTTTTTTGCACGATTACAAGACTTTCTCTATACTTCGTATATACGAGAAAGTAAAAAAGGTAACAACCAAATTTCTATTACAGGTAGCATGTTTTTAAATTTAATATAAGCATGGGTACAAAAATAATGTATCAGATTTTTGTGAGCGACCAATGGTTTTATTTAAAATTGAATTTTTAAAATTATTTTAAATGTTCGGTGCATTGAAAAACTTAAAAATTTTAAAGTTTTCAAAATATTTGTTTTATTTTACTTTTTAGTATATAATCTTTAATGATAATGAAAACAATTTTTTAAAAATCTGTTACTCAGTGTGCATTTTAAACTTAATTTTTTTTCTCCCGTTATACCACATTTAAATCACCAATTGTATCTGAGAACAGGTCGACCACCAACTATATGTGAGAACAGGTCGACCACCAACTATATGTGAGAACAAGTCGACCACCAACTATATGTGAGAACAGGTCGACCACCAACTATATGTGGGAACAGGTCGACCACCAACTATATGTGAGAACAGGTCGACCACCAACTATATGTGGGAACAGGTCGACCACCAACTATATGTGAGAACAGGTCGACCACCAACTATATGTGGGAACAGGTCGACCACCAACTATATGTGAGAAGAGGTCGACCACCAACTATATGTGGGAACATGTCGACCACCAACTATATGTGAGAACAGTTCGACCACCAACTATATGTGAGAACAGGTCAGCCATCAATGAGGAAGAAGTTATTCGGGCGATCATTATCATCTTTTCTTTTGTGCATAAGTCACAAGGGGCAAAATAAATTGAGCTTTTCCGTTTTAATTACCCGACCCCAGCATATGACCCCTGACCCCCGACCCCTTACCCCAGTAACCAGTCTGTATAAAACACTAGTGTTAGGCACAGTGCCAACCACGATCACCTGATAAGGACTGAAACAGATCAACTCTATCTGCAATACGGATCTCCAAATCAAATATCTCCACAAATAAAAAATAAACCGAGAGTGATCTCCCCTAAACTTTCTCGAATATTCTTATATAAAATAACAGGGGATGGGAACTCGGGCTATAGACATGATTTTTAATCCATTTTAAATACTTAAAGTTTTAAAAATAGAATAAAATCTCGTAGACAGATTAACTGCACACCAAGTGAACGCCAAATAAAAACACGTATAATAGTGCGCAATATTATTAGTACTTTAAAAATTTACATTAGTTTTTTGAGAAATCGGAAGTAGCCTAAATTACTACTTCCAGTCAACGGAAATTACTCAAAATTCAACAGAAGGTAGAGAATTAGATCTTTTACTTACATGTGAAATTTCATTTATCTATCTGAAATAGTACTCAAGTTATAGGCTTTTGAAAAATTCAAAGTAGGAAAAGTACCACTTCCGGTTATCGGAAATCGCTCAAAAGTTGATACGGATCTACGATTTGGATAAAATACTTATATATGAAATTTCATCAACCTAGCTGTAACGGTACTCAAGTTATCGTGTTTACACACGGACAGACAGACAGACAGACACACACACAGACACACAGACATACGGACAAGATTGCAAAATTATGTTTTTCCGTATCAGTGAGGTGTAAAACGTCGAGATTTGTAAAAATCTCGATTTTTTTTGCACGATTACAAGACTTTCTCTATACTTCGTATATACGAGAAAGTAATGAATAGTCTTTCTGTTAATTCAAAATTAATTTCTTCCAATTTAGATTTCTCATTTGATCCACACCAGTGCTAGACTACTTGATCAATTGTAGTGTATACACGGTTGACTCTTTCATTCGATTTTTTAAAAAATAATTATCTTTTAATTAACAGCGTAGTTACAAAGACCTGGAGTTGACTCTAAATGTGGGTACGTGATTTGTCGTTTGGGTTTAAGGCGCTCGTATTGGGGTCTTGGGAACTCGGCTACTAAACGTAGCCAAAAGCGGGTGCCACATGGTGTCTCTAGACTCAGATTAGAATAGCCCGTTGAGGCAGAGAGAAATTCAGACGTGAGACGGACTGTACCAGTTTAGCCTATTCCCGATTTTATTGAAAGAGCCAAGGAAATGGGTCGTAACAGGGTGTTCAGATGTCAAAATCTACACATGTAGTAACCTATGTGACAAAAGTATAAACATAACTTACCCGTTATGTTTTGGCAAAGAAAAGGAAACTGATTATCAAAAGACATATCCTGGTAAGAAGCGTTGCAGCAAAATATACCAGACTCTTGTCGCTTGACATTTGTAGCCGTCAGTGAGATATTAACCGAGTAAGGATCAGGTAAACGGTCTTTATTCACTGTATCCGGGGCTCTTACTTTAAATGTCCAGAACTTTTTAACTGAAGACGGTACGTCAGTCTCGTCTCGCTACATGAGAAATAAATGCACACAAGACATGTAGATTTAAGGTTAATAAGAACTAGTTTTAATAGTTTCTCACTGATTTTATTATGTTTTGACAGAGAATGCTTTTTATTGAAGAAAGCAATCTTGTTTTATATTCATATTTTTAATCCATGAATATGTTTATTAATATATAAATGTAAAACAAAGTACTTATTTCATTTATCTTTAGCGTAGATGTCCCCTTGTCACTAAAGACCTACATCCCCTTATGCATTATGCTTAAAAAACTACTTACAATAAAAATATAGGGTTTGAAAAATCTGAATCTTGCATAACTTTTCAGTTCATCTATGCCATTTGACCATCCGATAGTCATAGCCAACAAGCCAAGATTCTGTCTTGGGATTTCAAGGAGGTCAGCGTTACATGACACGATGTAGTCCCCACCTACGTTAACAACTCTTGGATGGACTATTTTTCTGTTTGGATCTGTCACTGTGAGATAAGACAGATTGTTAAAAATCAACATTATTTTTATAAATCAAATATATCGAACACGTCGGGCATATCAAAAGTTGTAGTTAGTTGGTCAGACTCCTGCATTTAATGTCTACACCTAAAGTTCCAATAAGAAGGTCAGAATCCTGCATTTATTTTCCATACAAAAAGGTTGTTTTTATGTTTACTTCCACACATCAAATATAACATTGGCATATTATTATGAAAAATAAAGATCTATTTGTATAATAATACATTTCAAAACACCATATTAAATTACCAAACTGGTTCATTAATATCTAGAGCTAGATGTTTTTTTTTTAAATGTATCATATTTAAACAAATGATAACATTGCTGCAATCTATATTAAAAAATTTTTCGACAAAAGTCATGAATGTTCCTCAGGTGCCAGAAATAATTAGTAAATAGTGTTTTCATTATTAAAAAAATTAAAATAATTATTTCTCATAATTCTCGTATCAGAAATTCTGTAAAGAGTATTCTTTTGAAAATTGAAAATATTGTTGGTACCTAAAACATATAAGAAATAACTGTTAAAGCTTTAAGCGAAATATAATAATACATTAGATTGCATTTAACGTTTCATTCTCAATTATCGCTTCGTTTAGTACACAGTATATTCCTGCATGTTGAATAATCAAATAGCCGTGTGATTCAGAAATTGCACATAATTGTGCGCTATTGATTTAGGCTATTTCTTTTATGTGTGACGTCTTTGCTTTTTTTTCACTAGTCATGAATCAAATATTATATTTTATTAGCCATTCTTTACTAATATACACATTTATTTGTAATCAGTTAAGTAGGCCTATATAAAGAAGTTTCATCCAAATGTTTCCTTCGTTTAATATTTTGTTTGCAGTAAATTAACATTGGCTAAATTGTGATATAATTCAATTTCAAATAATATTCGCGTAACTCAACCTTCTTACGCTGGCTCTAAGTAAAATATAACCCAGTAAATTTCCACCCAATGGAATGAACCCAGCTGGTCGAGATGACAGTGTAATAGTTACGACGCTTGTGGTACGGGTTCGTAAACATCATAGAATTCTGCTTTTTAATTCTATTTAATTATTTTTTATTTTTATGTTATTTTTTAAAATGCACAGTGGGAAATCACAACACACGCGATAGGTTCTAATTTATTATTATTTTAGTTTGACGTTAGTTTTAATAATTTATTCATTTATTATTCAAATGAGGTTTGAGCTCAGAAAATGTTATAGAAAGAAATCGGTGTTTTCGTAAGACAAAAAAATGTAACTATTATAAGCTGATATGTAATTTCGTTTCGGGTGTAAATGATAAAGTTACCATTTAGGACTTGGCAAGACGTTGGGCGGTTGAGGTAGAGTTAATCAGTTTTTGTAATCGAAGCATATGAAGAGTAAGTGTGGTCAAACACATGCTCAACGGAAATCGATGTTTTAAAAGGCAAAAACATATTGTCTGAGGCTTCACGAGGCAGGTGAAGTAGAGTTAACCCGTTTTTCTGATCTCAGCATATGAAGAGATAGTGTGGTCAGACCCATGCTCAGCCGAAATCCGTGTTTTTAAAAGACAATAGCATGTTGCCTGAGGTGTGACATCTTTTTGAATGTGGGGTCTGACATTTTGTGACGATGTGTTACGGTTGGAAGGGGATGGGAAAGATGAACATTATCAAACAAACGTGACGTCATTTATGCAGTGGGAAGAGGGGTGGAAAGATATAAAGCGTCAAACATTTATCGATTTATTATCGATTTTATATATTTATCGACTACCCCGAAACCTAGAGTTTTCCAAGGATAACGTTTAGTCTAGTATGCTTAACAAATATTAAGTTAGTAGAGCATCTGCAAGTGATATAAATTCAAGCACTTAAAAAATATGTAGTTTATATTTGGCTTCGGTCAGTTACTTAAATATTGAGATCGCTGTCATTTTCCCTCTGGATTGAAGTTTAATATCGTTGTTGGCAAGAACATTACCTTCAAGACTTTCCCTATCAAATGTGTGAGGAACAGCTGGACAGAATTCAGCTTGCTTTTATAGATATAGATTATCATTTACTTATTAGGGTGTTTAAATGTCAGAATCTACGCATATAGTAACCTTTGTGACAAAAGTATAAACATAACTTACCCTTTATGTGTTGGCAAAGAAAAGGAAACTGATTATCAAAAGACATATCCTGGTAAGAAGCGTTGCAGCAAAATATACCAGACTCTTGTCGCTTGACATTTGTAGCAGTCAGTGAGATATTAACCGAGTAAGGATCAGGTAAACGGTCATTATTCACTGTATCCGGGGCTCTTACTTTAAATGTCCAAAACTTTTTGAATGAAGGCGCCAAGTCAGTCTCTTCTCGCTACATGAGAAATAAATGCACACAAGACGTAGATTTAGGGTAAATAAGAACTAGTTTTACTGCACAAATGTCCCTGATACATATTAGGACAAGTAGGTACGCATTAAGCTATTACGTGAGATGTGGAACTTGAATTTGGGCTGCATTTAAATCAGTCACTTGGTTGGTTTTTCTGGTGCGATTGTTGGTTGTTTGAGGTTGTCATCCAAGTCTTTGTTTTACCTTAGGTAACTGCCTGTCATATTTCTAAAAATAAAACCTATTTAAATATTCTTGAGGTACAATAGAAAAGTTAGTTTCGAATTATAATACTGATGCATTTTTTAGAACAAAAAATTTAACACCTTCGGCCTGTCGTAATTTTAAACTTACAATTCTTTTAAAATTAAAGAAATTTAGGAGTTATTTATTGCACTGATTTTTATTGTATTTTGAAAGAATAAACCGGGAGTGATCTCCCCTAAACTTTCTCGAATATTCTTATATAACTTATATGTAGACATGATTTTTAATTACTTAAACTTTTAAAAATAGAATAGAATCTCATAGACAAAAACTTTGCGCACCAAACAAACGCCGAAACAAAATGTGCATAATAGTGCGCAATATTATTAGTACTTTATAAATTTACTTGCGTTTTTTGAGAAATCGGAAATAGCGTAAATTAGTACTTCCGGTCAACGAAAATTAATCAAAATTTGATAGAAGGTGGAGAATTAGATCTATTACTTATATGTGAAATTTCATTTATCTATCTGAAGTAGTACTCAAGTTATAGGCTTTTGAAAAATTCAAAGTAGAAAAAGTACCACTTCCGGTTATCGAAAATCGCTAAAAAGTTAATACGGATCTACGATTTTAATAAAATACTTATATGTGAAATTTTATCAACCTAGCTGTAACGGTACTCAAGTTATCGTGTTTACACACAGACACACACACAGACAGAGAGACAGACAGACACACAGACATACGGACAAGATTGCAAAATTATGTTTTTCCGTATCAGTGAGGTGTAAAACGTCGAGATTTGCAAAAATCTTGATTTTTTTTTTGCACGATTACAAGACTTTCTCTATACTTCGTATATACGAGAAAGTAAAAATGTAAAGAAAAATTGTAATATAAAACACGCTTACTTATATATTATTAAACGAGTGTGTCACTCAAAAAATCGTTTAAATATTTTAGCGACCTATTCATTTCTTTTTATTTTAAAATAGCAATCTTATTTTATTTTTATATATTCAAAGCACATATATGTTTATTATTATGTTTTTGAATAAATTATTGTTTTATTTATCTTAACAAAGTCCTAAATCCCCTTTATGCATTATGCTTAAAAAACTACTTACAATAAAAATATAGGGTTTGAAAAATCTGAATCTTGCATAACTTTTTAGTTCATCTATGCCATTTGACCATCCAATAGTCATAGCCAACAAGCCAAGATTCTGTCTTGGGATTTCAAGGAGGTCAGCGTTACATGACACTGTGTAGTCCCCACCTACGTTAACAACACTTGGATGGACTATTTTTCTGTTGAGATCTGTCACTGTGAGATAAGACAAATAGATTGTTAAAAATCAACAACATTTTTTTTATAATCCAAATATATCGAACACGTCGGGCATATCAAAAGTTTTAATTAGAAGTTCACATTCCTGCATTAATTTTTCGCACCAAAAGTTCCAATAAGAAGGTCAGACTCCTTCATTTATTTTCCACACCAAAAGTTCCAATAACACGGTCAGAATCCTGCATTTATTTACCAAGGGTGCTGCTGAAATCATTAATGTCTTGTTTGGGTCAACATTTAAGTGCGAATAATTGTAGAAAATTTAGTGACGTACCTTCATATTTTGACTAATTGCATACATTTTAAAAATGGACCCAATCGAGAATAGGCTGGAAGTTATTCGATAGCCCATTAATATTTAAAAAAATCAAGAATGGTGTAATTAAATTTCATATGTTATTAAAATCCTGATTGTTTTGTTTTTTGGGTGAATGTATTTGACGTTTAGTATTTTCGGTAATGAAACACAATTTCGTTTTTAAAAAGGCAAAAGCTATTTGGTTTTCACGTGACAATTTCAACATAAACTAAAACATAAACTAAAAATAAAAATCAATCACGGAATTTCTAAACAATCAACGAATGTTTATCTTACATTGTGAAACATCTTTTTTATTAACCGGGCTTGATGAAAATAAAGATAAATGTAGCTTTAAATACAAGAAATTATTTTCAAGTTCTCCTTTTATAACGTTGATTCTAAAAATATTACATTTCTGAATATTTTTAGGCTTAAGTTTCAATTTAGTTATTTTTACGGCCGCTGTGAAGTCAAAACGTTTTAAAACATGTATCCATGTCTACATAATGGTGGATTCTCGTGAGCTCGGAGGTATCCTTGTAAAACGCCGCCGTCAGAGTACTGAGGTTACTATTTGCATTTGTCGCACAGATATTGGGAAGTCATTGTTCTTGTAAAGCTACAATAGGTGTTTAGGCTAACGGTTTAAAGCGTTTTTTTCGGTTTGTTTCAGTTTCAATGTTAGAGTGATAGTTAATATATTTGTGCTGAATAGAAACACAATTTATATAAAGTTATGTATCTAGATCTACGCGCCTAATTGTATCGTACTATGACATATTTAAATCACAGTTAATATTAAATGTCTTGATCTACATCTCTACTAATATTGTGCTAGGAAAGATTTAATCACAGTTAATGTTAAATGTATTGATCTACATCTCTACTTAGATCTATATTGTGCTATGAAAGATTTAATCACAGTTTATTGAAAGACCAACATGTACACCGCTATTTACTTTGAACTGCCACAGGCCAGCTAAACAGCAACGTTATTGTAATTTCAATCAGATCCATGTTATTTTAATTAAAATCAGCTCCATGTTAATGGCTATTCTCCATCTGCCGCAAATCCAAAACTTTTTCAAGATTTATTGTTTATTTTATATCAAACGTAAAATCACGATGCAAACACGCGCTAAAATGTTCTCGTAGTAAATTAGGTGCGCACTCTTGTATCAAAAGCGTATCTAGATTTAGATCTAGTTTGTGATTTTGATTGTTCTGGTCAGAAAAATGTATTTTTAGGTAGATCAGTCAAATCTATTTGTTAAGGTCTAATTTTTTTGGAATCAAACAACTCTTAACATTTACTAACTATTAAATTGCAAGACAGTTGATACCACGTAAGACTTGCATTTAGAACTTGGGTTGGAAATCTTACGCCCTGCGGCTGTTTAAGAGTGGATCTCCTTACTAGATTAGTTTTATAGACTGAAAAAGCCATTGATGGTGTAGTCTGATAGGCAGTGTGGGAACTATTGAAATACTACGGTCCAAAATTTCCTTTATCCTAGTACCATACCATAACCTAGAATAGAGAGTAATACCCAGTGGGGCTAGTTGTAAGAAGTCTGTAATTAAAGTAACTAAAATAATGTAGATTTCAGACAAACTTGTTGACAGATTTCAGACAAACTTGTTGACAGATGTCAGACAAACTTGTTGACAGATGTCAGACAAACATGTTGACAGTTGTTAGACAAACTTGGTGCTCTAAGACTTTTGTCTGACAACATCGGTACCCTGCTCTAAGACTTTTGTCTGACAACATCGGTACCCTGCTCTAAGACTTTTGTCTGACAACATCGGTACCCTGCTCTAAGACTTTTGTCTGACAACATCGGTACCCTGCTCTAAGACTTTTGTCTGACAACATCGGTACCCTGTTCTAAGACTTTTGTCTGACAACATCAATACCCTGCTCTAAGACTTTTGTCTGACAACATCGGTACCCTGCTCTAAGACTTGCTCTTGTTTATTTCCTATTGAACACCATCTGCAACACTACAGCAGCACACTTTCAGTATTGTCCAAGTGACCTTGACACAATACTGTCATACGATCACGTGACACAATACTGTGCTACGATCACGTGACACAATACTGTCCTACGATCACGTTACACAATACTAACAGATAGCTATTTCACTCAACAGCTAACCGACACCAGTCCAAAATGTAACTGTCAGCATAAATTAAACAATGCATCAATTAAAAATCAAGTAAACAATAATTAACTGCTTAAACTTGTTAACGTTTTCCCCAAAGAGGCTTAAAAAATTTATAAAAATCCTGGTCCATGTTTATTTAGAGATTAAACTTTTTAATGTTTTCCTAGATAATACTTAAAAATAAAAACATTTTCTAAACATATTTTGTTGCACCCAGCTACAGAAGATAGCCAAGAACTAAACAAGCCAGATTTTATCTGAGCATATGGACACGCCCTACACTATTAACAAAGGCTACAGCAAACATCAGCCACGCCCTTGTCCTGATAGACCACGCCCCTGTTCCGACTGACCACGCCCCGTTGGTTGAGCGTGATAGTGACGTGCACTTTTCTGTGAGAATCAACTTGTTGTAAAACTGGTGCTCCAATAGACAGTCTCTGAGAAACAAACCGTTAGAATCTGGTCAAGGCGAGATACAAAAATTGGACGCTGAGATAAGTCAAGATACAAACATTGGACGCTAAGGTAAGTCAAGATACAAACATTGGACGCTGAGGTAAGTCAAGATACAAACATTGGACGCTGGGGTAAGTCAAGATACAAACATTGGACGCTAAGATAAGTCAAGATACAAACATTGGACGCTTGGGTAAGTCAAGATACAAACATTGGACGCTAAGATAAGTCAAGATACAAACATTGGACGCTGGGGTAAGTCAAGATACAAACATTGGACGCTAAGATAAGTCAAGATACAAACATTGGACGCTTGGGTAAGTCAAGATACAAACATTGGACGCTAAGATAAGTCAAGATACAAACATTGGACGCTTGGGTAAGTCAAGATACAAACATTGGACGCTAAGATAAGTCAAGATACAAACATTGGACGCTAAGGTAAGTCAAGATACAAACATTGGACGCTGAGGTAAGTCAAGATACAAACATTGGACGCTAAGGTAAAGTAGGGAAAATTTGTTTTTTATGAAAACGTTTGAAATCTCCCCCAAAAACAAATCGTAAATTTCCATGTTAAGCGAAATAAATCAGCTAGATGTAATTGATGTAACTTACTGGCCAAGGCGAGCAAACTGATAGATAAAAAAGTCCTCAAAATCCTTATTACATTTGGTGTACTGGGCTTGGATACACTTCATGTAGTCTATTGACAGTCTGGGGAACAGAAACAGGGAACATGTTAGAGGTTTGGTTCCATTTGGTGTACTGGGCTTGGATACACTTCATGTAGTCTAGTGACAGTCTGGGGAACAGAAACAGGGAACATGTTAGTGGTTTGGTTCCATTTGGTGTACAGGGCTTGGATACACTTCATGTAGTCTAGTGACAGTCTGGGGAACAGAAATAGGGAACATGTTAGAGGTTTGGTTCCATTTGGATATACTTTATGGATTCTTGTCTAATTTTAATGTTTTTTATCAAGATGCATTGATTTTACACTTTCACCTAGATCTATACTTTGGTACAAAATCTTGCGGTAGTGGTGCATTAAAGGCAGTCAAAAAAATTTAACATAACCATAGACATCACGACAGTTATTTATGAAAAAGTGATGACAGACGTAAGGACAGACGTTAAAATAGGTAGTTGTAGTTTGATAAAATCATTTTAAATCTGTTAAAGTTGAAAAAAATGCCACATACAAAATATTACACTTTTAGTATGTTTGTCAATTGTTTAAGCAATATTTTAAAAAAATCAAGAAATAGTATGAGAACAAAAACAATAAACCTTCTTGAGGAAAGAATTCTGAAATCTCTTATTTTAGATTGAAAGTAAAGAAACAAAAAGATTGAACCCACTTGCATGAATGTCTCTCGATATCCGCTTGGTTGTTGGAGGCAAAGGCTGCCGTTAAGTTTTGTAATCTCTCGGCCGAGGTGGCTTCGATCTCGCATTGGTCAATGTCAGCGGACATCTCGCAGTCATTTAAAACTTTGTAGTCAAATGAAGCGAACTTTGACACTGCATAAAGTAATGACATCTGACAACACTGGTCACTTGTGTACACACTTTAAAATATTTCTACAAGACACGTGTTGAGTAGTTGTCAATTACATGACATTTTGTAACACTGACCCATGACATCTTGTAACACTAACCCATGACATGACATCTTGTAACACTGACCCATGACATGACATCTTGTAACACTGACCCATGACATCTTGTAAACACTGACCCATGACATGACATTTTGTAACACTGACCCATAACATGACATTTTGTAACACTGACCCATGACATGACATCTTGTAACACTGACCCATGACATGACATTTTGTAACACTGATTTATGACATGACATCTTGTAACACTGACCCATGACATGACATCTTGTAACACTGACCCATGACATCATGTAACACTGAGCCATAACATAACATCTTGTAACACTGAGCCATGACATGACATCTTGTAACACTGAGCCATGACATGACATCTTGTAACACTGACCCATGACATGACATCTTGTAACACTGACCCATGACATGACATCTTGTAACACTGAGCCATGACATGACATCTTGTAACACTGACCCATGACATGACATCTTGTAACACAGACCCATGACATCATGTAACACTGAGCCATAACATAACATCTTGTAACACTGAGCCATGACATGACATCTTGTAACACTGAGCCATGACATGACATCTTGTAACGCTGAGACATGACATGACATCTTGTAACACTGACCCATGACATGACATCTTGTAACACTGACCCATGACATGACATCTTGTAACACTGACCCATGACATGACATCTTGTAACACTACCCATGACATGACATCTTGTAACACTGACCCATGACATGACATCTTTGGAACACTGACCTACCCATGACATGACATCTTGTAACACTGAGCCATGACATAACATCTTGTAACACTGACCCATGACATGACATCTTGTAACACTGACCCATGACATGACATCTTTGGAACACTGACCTACCCATGACATGACATCTTGTAACACTGAGCCATGACACGACATCTTGTAACACTGACCCATGACATGACATCTTGTAACACTGACCCATGACATGACATCTTGTAACACTGACCCATGACATGACATCTTGTAACACTGACCCATGACATGACATCTTTGGAACACTGACCTACCCATGACATGACATCTTGTAACACCGAGACATGACATGACATCTTGTAACACTGACCCATGACATGACATCTTGTAAAACTGAGCCATGACATGAAATCTTGTAACACTGACTTACAAGTTCTGTCTACTAACAACTTTTGTCTACTTACAACTTTTGTCTACTTACAAGTTTTGTCTACTTACAAGTTCTGTCTATTAACAACTTTTGTCTACTTACAAGTTCTGTCTACTAACAACTTTTTTCTACTTACAAGTTCTGTCTACTAACAACTTTTGTCTACTAACAACTTTTGTCTACTTACAAGTTTTGTCTACTAACAAGTTTTGTCTACTAACAACTTTTGTCTACTAACAACTTTTGTCTACTAACAACTTTTGTCTACTAACAACTTTTGTCTACTTACAAGTTTTGTCTACTAACAACTTTTGTCTACTTACAAGTTTTGTCTACTTACAAGTTTTGTCTACTAACAACTTTTGTCTACTAACAACTTTTTTCTACTTACAAGTTTTGTCTACTTACAAGTTTTGTCTACTAACAACTTTTGTCTACTTACAAGTTCTGTCTTCTAACAACTTTTGTCTACCTACAACTTTTGTCTACTTACAAGTTTTGTCTACTTACAAGTTTTGTCTACTAACAACTTTTGTCTACTTACAAGTTTTGTCTACTAACAACTTTTGTCTACTTACAAGTTTGGTCTACTAACAACTTTTGTCTACTAACAACTTTTGTCTACTTACAAGTTTTGTCTACTAACAAGTTTTGTCTACTAACAACTTTTGTCTACTAACAACTTTTGTCTACTAACAACTTTTGTCTACTAACAACTTTTGTCTACTTACAAGTTTTGTCTACTAACAACTTTTGTCTACTTACAAGTTTTGTCTACTAACAACTTTTGTCTACTAACAACTTTTGTCTACTTACAAGTTTGGTCTACTAACAACTTTTGTCTACTAACAACTTTTGTCTACTTACAAGTTTTGTCTACTAACAAGTTTTGTCTACTAACAACTTTTGTCTACTAACAACTTTTGTCTACTAACAACTTTTGTCTACTTACAAGTTTTGTCTACTAACAACTTTTGTCTACTAACAACTTTTGTCTACTTACAAGTTTTGTCTACTAACAACTTTTGTCTACTTACAAGTTTGGTCTACTAACAACTTTTGTCTGCTAACAACTTTTGTCTACTAACAACTTTTGTCTACTTACAACTTTTGTCTACTTACAAGTTTTGTCTACTAACAAGTTTTGTCTACTAACAACTTTTGTCTACTAACAACTTTTGTCTACTAACAACTTTTGTCTACTAACAACTTTTGTCTACTTACAAGTTTTGTCTACTAACAACTTTTGTCTACTAACAACTTTTGTCTACTTACAAGTTTTGTCTACTAACAACTTTTGTCTACTTACAAGTTTGGTCTACTAACAACTTTTGTCTGCTAACAACTTTTGTCTACTAACAACTTTTGTCTACTTACAACTTTTGTCTACTTACAAGTTTTGTCTACTAACAGCTTTTGTCTACTTACAAGTTTTGTCTACTAACAACTTTTTTCTACTTACAAGTTTTGTCTACTTACAAGTTCTGTCTACTAACAACTTTTGTCTGCTTACAACTTTTGTCTATAACAACTTTTGTCTACTTACAAGTTTTGTCTACTTACAAGTTTTGTCTACTAACAACTTTTGTCTACTTACAAGTTTTGTCTACTAACAACTTTTGTCTACTTACAAGTTTGGTCTACTAACAACTTTTGTCTACTAACAACTTTTGTCTACTTACAAGTTTTGTCTACTAACAAGTTTTGTCTACTAACAACTTTTGTCTACTAACAACTTTTGTCTACTAACAACTTTTGTCTACTAACAACTTTTTTCTACTTACAAGTTTTGTCTACTTACAAGTTTTGTCTACTAACAACTTTTGTCTACTTACAAGTTCTGTCTTCTAACAACTTTTGTCTACTTACAACTTTTGTCTACTTACAAGTTTTGTCTACTTACAAGTTTTGTCTACTAACAACTTTTGTCTACTTACAAGTTTTGTCTACTTACAAGTTTTGTCTACTAACAACTTTTGTCTACTAACAACTTTTTTCTACTTACAAGTTTTGTCTACTTACAAGTTTTGTCTACTAACAACTTTTGTCTACTTACAAGTTCTGTCTTCTAACAACTTTTGTCTACCTACAACTTTTGTCTACTTACAAGTTTTGTCTACTTACAAGTTTTGTCTACTAACAACTTTTGTCTACTTACAAGTTTTGTCTACTAACAATTTTTGTCTACTTACAAGTTTGGTCTACTAACAACTTTTGTCTAGTAACAACTTTTGTCTACTTACAAGTTTTGTCTACTAACAAGTTTTGTCTACTAACAACTTTTGTCTACTAACAACTTTTGTCTACTAACAACTTTTGTCTACTAACAACTTTTGTCTACTTACAAGTTTTGTCTACTAACAACTTTTGTCTACTTACAAGTTTTGTCTACTAACAACTTTTGTCTACTAACAACTTTTGTCTACTTACAAGTTTGGTCTACTAACAACTTTTGTCTACTAACAACTTTTGTCTACTTACAAGTTTTGTCTACTAACAAGTTTTGTCTACTAACAACTTTTGTCTACTAACAACTTTTGTCTACTAACAACTTTTGTCTACTAACAACTTTTGTCTACTTACAAGTTTTGTCTACTAACAACTTTTGTCTACTAACAACTTTTGTCTACTTACAAGTTTTGTCTACTAACAACTTTTGTCTACTTACAAGTTTGGTCTACTAACAACTTTTGTCTGCTAACAACTTTTGTCTACTAACAACTTTTGTCTACTTACAACTTTTGTCTACTTACAAGTTTGGTCTACTAACAACTTTTGTCTACTAACAACTTTTGTCTACTTACAAGTTTTGTCTACTAACAAGTTTTGTCTACTAACAACTTTTGTCTACTAACAACTTTTGTCTACTAACAACTTTTGTCTACTAACAACTTTTGTCTACTTACAAGTTTTGTCTACTAACAACTTTTGTCTACTAACAACTTTTGTCTACTTACAAGTTTTGTCTACTAACAACTTTTGTCTACTTACAAGTTTGGTCTACTAACAACTTTTGTCTGCTAACAACTTTTGTCTACTAACAACTTTTGTCTACTTACAACTTTTGTCTACTTACAAGTTTTGTCTACTAACAGCTTTTGTCTACTTACAAGTTTTGTCTACTAACAACTTTTTTCTACTTACAAGTTTTGTCTACTTACAAGTTCTGTCTACTAACAACTTTTGTCTGCTTACAACTTTTGTCTATAACAACTTTTGTCTACTTACAAGTTTTGTCTACTTACAAGTTTTGTCTACTAACAACTTTTGTCTATTTACAAGTTTTGTCTACTAACAACTTTTGTCTACTTACAAGTTTGGTCTACTAACAACTTTTGTCTACTAACAACTTTTGTCTACTTACAAGTTTTGTCTACTAACAAGTTTTGTCTACTAACAACTTTTGTCTACTAACAACTTTTGTCTACTAACAACTTTTGTCTACTAACAACTTTTTTCTACTTACAAGTTTTGTCTACTTACAAGTTTTGTCTACTAACAACTTTTGTCTACTTACAAGTTCTGTCTTCTAACAACTTTTGTCTACTAACAACTTTTGTCTACTTACAAGTTTTGTCTACTTACAAGTTTTGTCTACTAACAACTTTTGTCTACTAACAACTTTTGTCTACTTACAAGTTTTGTCTACTAACAAGTTTTGTCTACTAACAACTTTTGTCTACTAACAACTTTTGTCTACTAACAACTTTTGTCTACTAACAACTTTTGTCTACTTACAAGTTTTGTCTACTAACAACTTTTGTCTACTAACAACTTTTGTCTACTTACAAGTTTTGTCTACTAACAACTTTTGTCTACTTACAAGTTTGGTCTACTAACAACTTTTGTCTGCTAACAACTTTTGTCTACTAACAACTTTTGTCTACTTACAACTTTTGTCTACTTACAAGTTTGGTCTACTAACAACTTTTGTCTACTTACAACTTTTGTCTACTTACAAGTTTTGTCTACTAACAGCTTTTGTCTACTTACAAGTTTTGTCTACAAACAACTTTTTTCTACTTACAAGTTTTGTCTACTTACAAGTTCTGTCTACTAACAACTTTTGTCTGCTTACAACTTTTGTCTATAACAACTTTTGTCTACTTACAAGTTTTGTCTACTTACAAGTTTTGTCTACTAACAACTTTTGTCTACTTACAAGTTTTGTCTACTAACAACTTTTGTCTACTTACAAGTTTGGTCTACTAACAACTTTTGTCTACTAACAACTTTTGTCTACTTACAAGTTTTGTCTACTAACAAGTTTTGTCTACTAACAACTTTTGTCTACTAACAACTTTTGTCTACTAACAACTTTTGTCTACTAACAACTTTTTTCTACTTACAAGTTTTGTCTACTTACAAGTTTTGTCTACTAACAACTTTTGTCTACTTACAAGTTCTGTCTTCTAACAACTTTTGTCTACTTACAACTTTTGTCTACTTACAAGTTTTGTCTACTTACAAGTTTTGTCTACTAACAACTTTTGTCTACTAACAACTTTTGTCTACTTACAAGTTTTGTCTACTAACAAGTTTTGTCTACTAACAACTTTTGTCTACTAACAACTTTTGTCTACTAACAACTTTTGTCTACTAACAACTTTTGTCTACTTACAAGTTTTGTCTACTAACAACTTTTGTCTACTAACAACTTTTGTCTACTTACAAGTTTTGTCTACTAACAACTTTTGTCTACTTACAAGTTTGGTCTACTAACAACTTTTGTCTGCTAACAACTTTTGTCTACTAACAACTTTTGTCTACTTACAACTTTTGTCTACTTACAAGTTTGGTCTACTAACAACTTTTGTCTACTAACAACTTTTGTCTACTTACAAGTTTTGTCTACTAACAAGTTTTGTCTACTAACAGCTTTTGTCTACTAACAACTTTTGTCTACTAACAACTTTTGTCTACTAACAACTTTTGTCTACTTACAAGTTTTGTCTACTAACAACTTTTGTCTACTAACAACTTTTGTCTACTTACAAGTTTTGTCTACTAACAACTTTTGTCTACTTACAAGTTTGGTCTACTAACAACTTTTGTCTGCTAACAACTTTTGTCTACTAACAACTTTTGTCTACTTACAACTTTTGTCTACTTACAAGTTTTGTCTACTAACAGCTTTTGTCTACTTACAAGTTTTGTCTACTAACAACTTTTTTCTACTTACAAGTTTTGTCTACTTACAAGTTCTGTCTACTAACAACTTTTGTCTGCTTACAACTTTTGTCTATAACAACTTTTGTCTACTTACAAGTTTTGTCTACTTACAAGTTTTGTCTACTAACAACTTTTGTCTACTTACAAGTTTTGTCTACTAACAACTTTTGTCTACTTACAAGTTTGGTCTACTAACAACTTTTGTCTACTAACAACTTTTGTCTACTTACAAGTTTTGTCTACTAACAAGTTTTGTCTACTAACAACTTTTGTCTACTAACAACTTTTGTCTACTAACAACTTTTGTCTACTAACAACTTTTTTCTACTTACAAGTTTTGTCTACTTACAAGTTTTGTCTACTAACAACTTTTGTCTACTTACAAGTTCTGTCTTCTAACAACTTTTGTCTACTTACAACTTTTGTCTACTTACAAGTTTTGTCTACTTACAAGTTTTGTCTACTAACAACTTTTGTCTACTTACAAGTTTTGTCTACTTACAAGTTTTGTCTACTAACAACTTTTGTCTACTAACAACTTTTTTCTACTTACAAGTTTTGTCTACTTACAAGTTTTGTCTACTAACAACTTTTGTCTACTTACAAGTTCTGTCTTCTAACAACTTTTGTCTACCTACAACTTATGTCTACTTACAAGTTTTGTCTACTTACAAGTTTTGTCTACTAACAACTTTTGTCTACTTACAAGTTTTGTCTACTAACAACTTTTGTCTACTTACAAGTTTGGTCTACTAACAACTTTTGTCTACTTACAAGTTTTGTCTACTAACAAGTTTTGTCTACTAACAACTTTTGTCTACTAACAACTTTTGTCTACTAACAACTTTTGTCTACTAACAACTTTTGTCTACTTACAAGTTTTGTCTACTAACAACTTTTGTCTACTTACAAGTTTTGTCTACTAACAACTTTTGTCTACTAACAACTTTTGTCTACTTACAAGTTTGGTCTACTAACAACTTTTGTCTATTAACAACTTTTGTCTACTTACAAGTTTTGTCTACTAACAAGTTTTGTCTACTAACAACTTTTGTCTACTAACAACTTTTGTCTACTAACAACTTTTGTCTACTAACAACTTTTGTCTACTTACAAGTTTTGTCTACTAACAACTTTTGTCTACTAACAACTTTTGTCTACTTACAAGTTTTGTCTACTAACAACTTTTGTCTACTTACAAGTTTGGTCTACTAACAACTTTTGTCTGCTAACAACTTTTGTCTACTAACAACTTTTGTCTACTTACAACTTTTGTCTACTTACAAGTTTGGTCTACTAACAACTTTTGTCTACTAACAACTTTTGTCTACTTACAAGTTTTGTCTACTAACAAGTTTTGTCTACTAACAACTTTTGTCTACTAACAACTTTTGTCTACTAACAACTTTTGTCTACTAACAACTTTTGTCTACTTACAAGTTTTGTCTACTAACAACTTTTGTCTACTAACAACTTTTGTCTACTTACAAGTTTTGTCTACTAACAACTTTTGTCTACTTACAAGTTTGGTCTACTAACAACTTTTGTCTGCTAACAACTTTTGTCTACTAACAACTTTTGTCTACTTACAACTTTTGTCTACTTACAAGTTTTGTCTACTAACAGCTTTTGTCTACTTACAAGTTTTGTCTACTAACAACTTTTTTCTACTTACAAGTTTTGTCTACTTACAAGTTCTGTCTACTAACAACTTTTGTCTGCTTACAACTTTTGTCTATAACAACTTTTGTCTACTTACAAGTTTTGTCTACTTACAAGTTTTGTCTACTAACAACTTTTGTCTACTTACAAGTTTTGTCTACTAACAACTTTTGTCTACTTACAAGTTTGGTCTACTAACAACTTTTGTCTACTAACAACTTTTGTCTACTTACAAGTTTTGTCTACTAACAAGTTTTGTCTACTAACAACTTTTGTCTACTAACAACTTTTGTCTACTAACAACTTTTGTCTACTAACAACTTTTTTCTACTTACAAGTTTTGTCTACTTACAAGTTTTGTCTACTAACAACTTTTGTCTACTTACAAGTTCTGTCTTCTAACAACTTTTGTCTACTTACAACTTTTGTCTACTTACAAGTTTTGTCTACTTACAAGTTTTGTCTACTAACAACTTTTGTCTACTTACAAGTTTTGTCTACTAACAACTTTTGTCTACTTACAACTTTTGTCTACTAACAACTTTTGTCTACTTACAACTTTGTGTACTAACAAGTTTTGTCTACTAACAACTTTTGTCTACTTACAGTATGTCGTGCCTTTCGTACATAGCAGATATGCCGCACGCTTAAGATCGTACTCTTTAGGAAATTGTTTCTCGAACAATTTGACCATGTATGTCTGGTCTGTGTGACTATCACGTCTTGAATCCAGGATACACTGACTATAGGCCTTTGGATTACTGAAGGGTGGGGGTGGAGGGTGGGGAATAGGGGGGAGGTCTGTCATTAGGTCTAGTTGCAAAATATTAAGGTGTTGATGTAATACTGAAACCGGTTTCCGAAGATAGAAGGTTTTTTTTTTTGAAAATTGAATCTTGTTACAAAATGTATGGACATGTTTTACCTGCAGGATGTGTGGACAAGTTTTACCTGCAGGATGTGTGGACAAGTTTTACCTGCAGGATTAGTGGACAGGTTTTACCTGCAGGATGTTTTGACAGGTTGTACCTGCAGGATGTGTGGTCATGTTTTACCTGCAGGATGTGTGGACAGGTTTTGCCTGCAGGTTGTGTGGACAGGTTTTGCCTGCAGGATGTGTGGACAAGTTTTACCTGCAGGATGTGTATACAGGTTTTACCTGCAGGATATGTGGACAGGTTTTACCTGCAGAATGTGTGGACAGGTTTTACCTGCAGGATTAGTGGACAGGTTTTACCTGCAGGAAGTGTGGACAGGGTTTACCTGCAGAAACTGACAACGTTGAGTTCACTTAATTTCTGGATGTGACCTCTACGGTACTCAGGCAACGTCTTGGTGCAGTGATTGTCCAGAGTCAATGTATCCAGGGACAAAACTAGCGGGAGAAATTAAGGTCAACGTATCCAAAGACAAAACTAACTTGAGAAATTAACAATTTAAAAAAAAAAACGTTATTATTATAATAGGCTTTAACATCCTTTTAAAATATCGCATTTAATTTTTTAGCGCAATTTCCATTCTGGAGAATTGCGTTTATTAACTCGTCATTTCTGGGAATGGATGGATGAATGAATGAATGAATGGATGAATGTGTGTCCGGGCTTTAAGTCGTATCTCCTCCTCAACGAAGCAATATCGATGACTAGTTCCAAAAGCAATTATGTTAAGCAAGTTACGAGAATGAGCATAGGCCATAAAAATTCCGGGTTTCTTTCATGTATTTCCCGGAAAAGCCAAAAAACCTCGAAAAAAATTCAGTTTTTTGCCCATATCTCGGCAACCAGACCACTTAATTTTCTTAATTGTTATTTAAATAGACAGATAAAAAGACTGAAGAAAGACTGCTATGAGAACGATTGTATTCAAAATTAATAATATAGATATAAAAAAACACATAAGAATAAAACAAACCAATTGACACAATTTTCGGCAGGTATAAAATTAGATACAAGCAGTTTCATTGATTTAAAAAAAATACAAACATTTAAAAAATATGATTATATCAGGCCCAAAATTAAGTTCGAACGTGTGTTTTTTACTTTCTCGTATATACAGAGTTAAGAGAAAGTATTGTAATTGTGAAAAAAAATTAAGATTTTTGCAAATCTCGACGTTTTAAATCTCCCTGAGTCGGAAAAAACATAATTTTGCAATCTTGTCCGGATGTCTGTGTGTGTATGTGTGTGTGTGTGTCTGTAAACACGAAAACTTGAGTACCGTTACAGCTAGGTTGATGAAATTTCATATTGAAGTATTATATCAAAATCGTAGATCCGTATCAACTTTTGAGCGCTTTCCAATAACGGGAAGTGGAGACTTTTCTACTTTGAATTTTTCAAAAGCCTATAACTTGAGTACTATTTCAGATACATAAATACCGGAAGTAGTAATTTACGCTATTTCCGATTTCTCAAAAAAAAAAAAAACCGCATGTAAATTTATAAAGCACTAATAGTATTCCGCACGATTATGCACATTTTGTTTTCGCGTTCGCTCGGTGCGCAATTCTTTTTTCAACGAGATTCTATTCTATTTTAAAAAGTTTAGGTAATTAAAAATCACGTCTATATCACGAGTAGCCATCCCACATAGTGTTATATAAGAATATTCGAGAAAGTTTAGGGGAGATTACTCCCTTTTTTGTTTTTTAATGTGATTAGTTGTCTCACCATGGATATACTTTCCATTAAAATAGGTTCAATTACTAAATTAGGAAATACATTAATCTAAAATTCAGTGAAACAGTCTGTTTATACAGACATATATATATATATATATATATATATATATATATATATATATATATATATATATATATATATATATATATATATATATATATATATATATATATATATATATATATATATATATATATATATATATATATATATATATATATGGGGCGTGGTCTTACAAGAATCGGGCGTGGTTAATGTTTGCTGCTGCCCTCACCACCAGTGTAATGCGTGTCTACGAGTTTAGCTAAACTTGAACAGACTATTATTTTAAACTCTCCCGCAAGAGAAAACATTTAGAAAATGTTAGTATTCTAATGATTTTTTTAGCGCAATTTCCATTCTGGAGAATTGCGTTTTATTAACCCGTCATTTCTGGATGGATGGATGAATGGATGGATGAATGTGTGTCCGCAGCTTTAAGTCGTATCTCCTCCTCAACGAAGCAATATCGAAGACTAGTTCCAAAAGCAATTATGTTAAGCAAATTACCAGGATGAACATAGGCTAAAACAATTCCGGGTTTCTTTCATGTATTTCCCGGAAAAGCCAAAAAACCTCGAAAAATGCAGTTTTTGGCCCATATCTCGGCAACCAGACCACTTAGCGACTTGAAACATGTACCAATCGATTCCTGCTATAATTTAGAACAATATTGCCAAAGAAAGTTTTCAAAAATATCCTCTCGTTCTATCACAAATTTTAGAAATACATAAACACCTACAAACCGATCGTTCTTCTAGCTTGAACGCACCCCAGCATTATACGTCAGAGCTATTTTTAGATAACATAAGGAAATTGCGCATAAATGTCACTAGACTTTTTTAATTAACTTGTTTTAAAAACAAGTTTTAAAAATTTTTAAACATTGGTCGAAAAATTAAGTGTGAGATAAAAGCTTGCTAATAAAACGTTTTTTATCAATTTTAAAAAATATTTATATGTATTGTAGTTTTACAGTAATTTGTTCTTAATGAAAGTAGACACCACACGAATGAAATTATTTGGTTTAGAACCCTGTAGACATGTAGGCTACACACGGATATCCACACCCGGACACCAACCTCCCGTAGAACCCTGTAGACATGTAGGCTACACACGGATATCCACACCCGGACACCAACCTCCCGTAGAACCCTGTAGACATGTAGGCTACACCCGGGTATCCACACCCGTACACCAACCTCCCGTAGAACCCTGTAGACATGTAGGCTACACACGGATATCCACACCCGGACACCAACCTCCCGTAGAACCCTGTAGACATGTAGGCTACACCCGGGTATCCACACCCGGACACCAACCTCCCGTAGAACCCTGTAGACATGTAGGCTACACCCGGATATCCACACCCGGACACCAACCTCCCGTAGAACCCTGTAGACATGTAGGCTACACCCGGGTATCCACACCCGGACACCAACCTCCCGTAGAACCCTGTAGACATGTAGGCTACACCCGGACACCAACCTCCCGTAGAACCCTGTAGACATGTAGGCTACACACGGATATCCACACCCGGACACCAACCTCCCGTAGAACCCTGTAGACATGTAGGCTACACCCGGATATCCACACCCGGACACCAACCTCCCGTAGAACCCTGTAGACATGTAGGCTACACCCGGGTATCCACACCCGGACACCAACCTCCCGTAGAACCCTGTAGACATGTAGGCTACACCCGGATATCCACACCCGGACACCAACCTCCCGTAGAACCCTGTAGACATGTAGGCTACACCCGGATATCCACACCCGGACACCAACCTCCCGTAGAACCCTGTAGACATGTAGGCTACACCCGGATATCCACACCCGGACACCAACCTCCCGTAGAACCCTGTAGACATGTAGGCTACACCCGGATATCCACACCCGGACACCAACCTCCCGTAGAACCCTGTAGACATGTAGGCTACACCCGGATATCCACACCCGGACACCAACCTCCCGTAGAACCCTGTAGACATGTAGGCTACACCCGGATATCCACACCCGTACACCAACCTCCCGTAGAACCCTGTAGACATGTAGGCTACACCCGGGTATCCACACCCGGACACCAACCTCCCGTAGAACCCTGTAGACATGTAGGCTACACCCGGGTATCCACACCCGTACACCAACCTCCCGTAGAACCCTGTAGACATGTAGGCTACACCCGGGTATCCACACCCGGACACCAACCTCCCGTAGAACCCTGTAGACATGTAGGCTACACCCGGATATCCACACCCGGACACCAACCTCCCGGAATTTACGACTGGGATTTTATTTCGGTACGTTGTTTTGTTAGTTTATTACACAATGGTAAATGTCCAGTAGTTTAACGTGCAAGTGATTATACTCTCAACGATACTTGCTGAAAGTTTTGGTCAAGTTTTTGATACAGTGCCTTATGCATTGAGCCGTCCCTACTAAAGATATCATCAAATTTGTGAGACAATATAGGCCTACCACTTCCTGACCCCATATACTACTCCTGAATCTATAGAGCTGAAACTCCATTACGTTTATTAGACGAAAACCAACTTGAGGACAGATCGTATAAGGATGGATTTATGATGTAGATGTGAGTGGCTGGAGTGTCTTATTATAATTATTATTTTCTGTAGCTAAAAAGGCGAATGTATCATTTCGTTCCATGTCGTAAACTGTTCGTGCATATAGGTTATGTAGTCCTGTATTATGGCACCCCTGTATAACTGCAACGTCTACGGCTAGTTTGTATATATTTTGTTTATATTGTTGTCAATATTTATATTAAGTGTCTTTTTGTATAATTCTTGCTTATGTTTCGTGGCGTGTTGTTTATAATCAGTGGATTAGGGACTATTTGTTGACGTGTAGTGTGCGAGGTGTGTGGATGTCAGTTCAGGGCAGATGTTTCAACGTGACATTTGAAAGCCATGGGGATGAGGGAGGTGTCTGTGTGGTCAGAGCCTAGACCATCCGAAGCATAAAAAGTCAGCACTGCACCATCCATTTGTTTTACTGTTGTTTCATTTCTGCAGCCTGATAAGATGGTTGCTATTTTGTTTCTGTTTTATGATGCTTGTTGGCCATGTGCTAACTTTTCTGTCCATGTATTTGCTTGTTGGCCATGGGCTAACTTTTCTGTCCATGTATTTGCTTGTTGGCCATGGGCTAACTTTTCTGTCCATGTATTTGCTTCTTGGCCATGGGCTAACTTTTCTGTCCATGTATTTGCTTGTTGGCCATGGGCTAACTTTTCTCTCCATGTATTTGCTTGTTGGCCATGGGCTAACTTTTCTGTCCATGTATTTGCTTGTTGGCCATGGGCTAACTTTTCTGTCCATGTATTTGCTTGTAGGCCATGGGCTAACTTTTCTGTCCTTGTATTTGCTTGTAGGCCATGGGCTAACTTTTCTGTCCATGTATTTGCTTGTAGGCCATGGGCTAACTTTTCTGTCCATGTATTTGCTTGTAGGCCATGGGCTAACTTTTCTGTCCATGTATTTGCTTGTAGGCCATGGGCTAACTTTTCTGTCCATGTATTTGCTTGTTGGCCATGGGCTAACTTTTCTGTCCATGTATTTGCTTGCAGGCCATGGGCTAACTTTTCTGTCCATGTATTTACTTGTAGGCCATGGGCTAACTTTTCTGTCCATGTATTTGCTTGTTGTCACCGTTGTGGTCTGACCACGTGGGGCAGCTAGACTTAAGTATAAAGTCTCTAATTTTATGTTTGGTTAATATTTAGGCTCAGGCCTGTAACCTCCTGTGTGGGAATTATTCACAACATTGGTTTTGATTAGTTGTATCCCTTGGGCTTGTGTTAAGCCAGGGATAAGTTTTATTGACGCCTGACCCACAGTTATGGTTCATTCCTGACTGTTGTGTTGGGTTATTTTACTTGTGAGTTGTTTAATACTGTTTTATGCCATTCTATATAGTAGTCAACTTTCACTTCTTGGGGTGATCTTTGTTGGTCCCCAGGGGAGTGTTAAGTTTATTCCAGTCACTATAGATGAGCAGGGAAGTTAATAGTATGTATTCTATTTTACGTGAGCCTTATGTTGAGGCTGATAACTAACTGTGTCATTTGAGTTAGTACTTTAGTGCTAAGTGTCCTGGTAATTATATTCCAGGTTGTTTTTTTGAGTTTGTCTTGTGAAGACTACTTGTCAGATTTAAATATTGTCTTCATTTATTGGAAGATTCAATTTGTACAATATCCTTTTGCTTTTCAATGGGGTCATTCTGATGCCTTGTATTTAACCATTTTATATGATTTTCGTGTATTTGTTCTCTTTTCAGGATTGTAGTCCGATTAGGTGTTTTGTTTTGTTTTTATTTACATCTTTTCATTAAAAATTAGTTCTTATTTTTTATGTAATAAATTTTATAAATTATTAAGGTTTTTTTGTTTTATTTTTAGCATAAGATTAAGGTTAGGGTTTAACCACCGTGGGTTTTGCCAATTTTGCACTGACCGGATAGTTTAGATAAGCCTTGGAAGATAGTAGTTATCCCCCCTGACAGGGCTAACATAGATAAATGAGAGGTGAGACTGGAATTTTTAGTCCACTTTTTGACTAACTGGAAACATAACTTACCGGTTATCGTCTGGCATGCAGATACTCTGCGAGTATCGTCAATCAAATCTTGGTAAGAAACGTTGCAACAAAAGATGCCAGACTCTTGTCGTTTGACCTTTGTCGCCGTCATTGTGATATTGACTGCATCTCTATCAGGTACACCACGGTCATCCACTTTGTCCGGGCCTGTTACTTTAAATTTCCAGAGCTTCACAGAAGAAGGGGCTGTGTTGGTTTCTTTTCGCTACACGAGAAATGAAGGCATCGTTTACATGTCAATAAAGTGTATACACATCGAGATCAAATGTCACTAGCATTAACTCAAATGACACGGATCACCGGCTCAGGAGTTTTGCTCCCATTAGCCAGGCCGGCCTCCATACACCGTACTCCGACTAACTGGCAAAGCGCGAAGATGTCGGGTTGAACGGTGCGCTTCGGTCGCTTCCCTTAACTAGCATGAACTAACAGAGCTCACTTGATCTAGCTACTTACAGTAGGCCCCACAATATAAAACTAATAGTAGTACGTCCCAGAGTCCAATCAGCTCCAATGGGTACCTGATTTACGTTGGGAAATAATAGGCGGCTTGGGGCTAGTGCTGACCACACCATTCTTTTATATGCCGTGGTCAAGAAACAAATTAATCTGACCAATGGATCGTAAGGTCTAATGAGGTCTTTCATTCAATTTATTTTTAATAACCAACTTGGCTTTAGTGGAACTGTCAGGGTTAATCAGCCGCCATTATTTAATTTTGATTACAGAAACCATTTATAGCAGCACTGGTGAAATCGATTTTCACAATTTAAAAATATTTGATCATTATGTAATACGCCCTTGGTCATCAGAAGTCTTATTTTCCTAATTAACGTATTGGCAATCGATCCTTATGTACTCCTTAACGACTTACATAGTAAATTAACTTGTCGTAAATTCTGTATCTTATGTAAGTTTCTAGCTCCTCTATTCCATTCGACCATCCAATAGACATAGAATACAAGCCTAGGTTCTGTCCCTTGCCTGGCACTCCAGCCAGATCAGAGTTACACGACACGGTGTAGTCCCCACCCGCATTAACTACACTTGGATGGACTATTTCTCTGCTCGGAGCTGTCAGGTAAGATAAGGAAACTGTAAACAAATCTTTTATTATGGTTGTATTATCCTGAATAATAATGGGCTTATTTTAGCTTTTTAAATAGATTTATTGGTACCATTGAAACGAGGGTACTCAAATACAACACGATAAATACCAAACGGATTCGTTTTACTGACTTTAAAATAATGTTCAGCATGCCAATTTAAAACTTTTAGGCTATTAAATTTTCACGTGAAACGTCAACAAATGGATTAATATTTAATACGGAAGGAGTGGCGTATCCTTGATTGAATGGTAATGCTGTAAACACACGGACACGCTTAAATAGGTGATCCAGTGCGTAGGTGGTCTATCAACGAGTGTTTGATCACAAGCGCTGTTTCCGGCTTTGATCATGGGTGTTTTGACACATAGGGTCTTTGATCCTTTATATATACTATGTATTTTCAAGTACATCTACATTATTTATTTGTGAAACTTGTTATATGTCGCATTATTTGTGTTCCATTTATATTTAAAATAAATCTGTGAGGTCTAGCACCAGACTTTATGTGGAGACTAAAATACCGTTCGTGACTATTTTAGTTCATAATAATTTCTATTAATGGATTTTCAGGAAACATGTATAACATGGTATTAATTGTATCATAAATTTAAATTAAAATATCAGTTTATAATTTCTATTTTAAAATCTATATATTATACACCGCTGTGGTCAAAGCTCCGCTGTGGTCAAACCCCCTATGGTCAAAGCACCTAGGACCCTAACTTACACTTACCTTGTAAATGAGCCAATCCCACACGTTCTCACCCACATTATATACTGGACTAAACTGATACAAGCCCACACACTCCCACACCTTATATACTGGACTAAACTGATACAAGCCCAAACACCCACACACCTTATATACTGGACTAAACTGATACAAGCCCACACACTCCCACACCTTATATACTGGACTAAACTGATACAAGCCCACACACTCCCACACCTTATATACTGGACTAAACAGATACAATCCCACACTCACATACCCACACACCTTATATACTGGACTAAACTGATACAAGCCCACACACTCCCACACCTTATATACTGGACTAAACTGATACAAGCCCACACACTCACACACCTTATATACTGGACTAAACTGATACAAGCCCACACACCCACACACCTTATATACTGGACTAAACTGATACAAGCCCACACACCCACACACCTTATATACTGGACTAAACTGATACAAGCCCACACACTTACACACACCTTATATACTGGACTAAACTGATACAAGCCCACACACTCCCACATTTTATATACTGGACTAAAATGATACAATCACCCACGTTCTCACACACCTTATATACACGTACATAAACAGATACAAGCTGGAATATGACGTGACTGACTAAACTCACCACAACAGAACTGAACAAGGACGATAGGGACAGGGTACAAAGAATAAACAACATTTACCCCCATTCATCCGCCTTGACTTATTTACTATAGACACCATTAAAAAACAAATAAAAAACCTTTATAATAATAGGCTGTAAACACTAAAAATGTGATAAGAAATAAAATACACTTCAAGAGCCATAAATGGTTGTATTAAGTAAAATAAATTTATTTTTATTTTTTAAAAAAATTCAATGTAATTGAAAGCTAATTTTTTAAATATTTTTTTTACTTGTTTTGTTTCCTCTTTTAGTAAGTTGACTCCACATATGATTAAAACATTTGCTTTAAAACCCGATAGGTAGCTTGCGATCCTAATATATAAAAGTTCATGCGCACACTTCTTTCTCTCTGTCCGCAATAATTTTTGACAATGTTATCAGTATGTTCAGCGATATATGGAGAACTTAAAGATACGGACTGTTGTTGAAAATAATATGGTGGATGTTATACATGTTTAAACTAAATTTTATTTAAAAAAGGAAAACAAAAATAAAAGTGTATTCGAATGTAAAAACAGATTTCTAACTAAAGTGTTTATTGTCCTGACAAGAACGCAATAAACAATGATGTCACAAGCCACATGTTTAAAGGAAGGAAAGAACACAAAACTAATGACGTCATCTTCCAATTTTAGAATATAAAGAAATGAAATATTTGCTTCAATTTGATTTAGATCTACATATCAAACGTACGCTATGAAATGTATACAATTTCCCGGCCTAAACTTATAACATTTACATTATCTATTTACATTCTAGATTAAGATCTAGATCTAGAGCATTCTAGAGCTACTGAAAAAAACGAGAGTTAAACCAGCCGTAGATTCTAGATCTAGACTCTAGGTCTATCTAGATCTAGAATCTATTCAAATAATGAGTTTCTATACTAAACTATTTTAGACATTAATTATTTTATATAAATCTTTGTTTAGCTATGGAATTGCCTAATTTTTTAATAAAATTCCAATTGAAGTAATCGACGCTGACTCTAAATCTAAGTAAAGTACCGCACTTATTATGCTCCTACGCTGTAGTGCCTAAATAACTGAGGTGATAGTGTAATAGTTACCATGCAGGTGGTACGGGTTGGAGACACCACGACAATGATTAATTTTTTTTTCAATTTTTTTTTTAGATGTGAATGTTAAAGTTGCGTAACGGGGCTTGGCAGGGCACGGGGCAGGTAAGTAGAGTTCACCTTTTTCTGTCTACTTAGTATATAAAGGGATAGTGTAGTCAGACCCATGCTCAGCCGAAATTGGCGTTTTTTCAAAGACAAAAATCAGATGCGTAGCAACCCTTTCGGCCCCGGGTGAACTATCAATATTGCCCCCCCCCCCCCCCATATTTACATCTTAAATCACGTTTAGTGAAAAAGGACCCCCTTCACACACATCAGTCACCGTTAATAGTTTTTTCCCTGTATCACACAAGTAGTTTGTAGAAAGCCGTCCGTAGAACCAAGTAGTTTCTATTTTCTTAAATTTGAGTGTAATGCAGCTCGGAATAAGCTTGTTATTTTATTTTTCTAGCCGATTTTGCGCCCTTTGTTGTCGGCGAGCGGGGCGGTCGCCCCACGCTCCCTCCCCTAGCTACGCCTCTGACAAAAACAACATAACTACCATTGAACAGCCAGGTTTTTAAAAAAAATCATTTGTCTTTAAATTTTAAGCCACTTAATCAGTGTGTGCATTTAATATGGTGTTGTGTTGACAAATGATATTTCTCTAATAGGTATTGGTAGTCTATGTTATTTTATGTGTCGGAAGTTTTTAGCTATTTAGTTATTTCTCTGCTTTGTCGCTAATATCGTTCAACGTATAGTAAAGTACATAGCGTTATAAGTTTTGACCAATACTTTTTAAATATTTTTTTTAAACAAGTAGAACAATAAAATATATAGGCCTATAATTCACGTGTAACGGGTACTGACGGCTTGTCCACTATAGAAGACAATGCTGTGTATATCTGATATGAGATTTGCAAACTCAGTTGAATCTAAATTAAGTTCCTGACATGACACTATGTCATCTTTACAGTCAGTACAATATGCTCTAGTGAACCACTCACCCTGTGCTGCTACGGACCAGCAACCAAGAAATGTCAACAAAACTCGGACTAGTACCATCTCATCCACTTGTCTCCAACCATCTCCGTGACCACAACAGTACCCTGCTATAAGATGCCTGACCACAACAGTACCCTGCTATAACCTGCCTGACCACAACAGTACCCTGCTCTAAGACTTGAGTTGGCTGTTGTTTATGTTGTATTGAACGCAGTGTCTTGGTGCAAACACGTGCAGAATTTTTAAAAATATTTAGCACACATTTGTTGAAACTATATCGCGTGTAATGTATCTATTGCATGGTCTGAAGTTAGTGTTTTGTTTATATAGTCAAAATAGTGACAAGTGACTCAAAAATGTACTGCTGACGTTTTGTCTATGCAAAAAAAAATAATTATTCATTCAATCTTTGTTTAATATAAGCGAAGCATCTCCAAAGAAACAAAGAAAAACATGTTTTTTTTCTCTGCAGAAATAACTTTTTAATGTTTTCCTAGATAATACTTAAAAATAAAAACATTTTCTAAACATATTTTGTTGCACCCAGCTACAGAAGATAGCCAAGAACTAAAAAAGCAAGAGCTTGGCTGAGGACACGCCCTACATTGTTGATAAAGGCTACAGCAAACATCAGCCACGCCCTTGTCCTGAAAGACCACGCCCCTGTTCCGACTAACGACGCCCCGTTGGTTGTGCGTGAATGTGACGTGCACTTGTCCGTGAGAATCAACTTGTTATAAAACTGGTGCTCCAATAGACACGCTCTGAGAAACAAACCATTCGAATCTGGTCAAGTCGAGATACAAACATTGGGCGCTTAAGTAAGTCTAGATACAAACATTAGACGCTGTGGTGAGTCAAGATACAAACATTGGACGCTGGGGTAAGTCCAGATACAAACGTTGGACGCTGAGGTAAATTAAGATACAAACATTAGACGCTGTGGTGAGTCACGTTACAAACATTGGACGCTGGGGTAAGTCAAGATACAAACATTGGACGCTTGGGTAAGTCAAGATACAAACATTGGACGCTGAGTGTTATGTAGTCGTCTGTGTGCTTTGTTTTGATGGTGGTGATGACTGCAGTGAGGGTTGAGCTAACAGATTAAACTTTGATTTAATAACGCCAACACACGTACGATTCTAAGACTTATAATACACGAAATAAACTAGCACAGAGTTCTGCCACGGAGCACAAGACACACACTTCCACACGATAACAAGTCTAGCATTCAACTAACTTAATTCATTCGCACGGCCCCAACTTCACCCTAAGGTAACCCAAACCCTGCCTAACCCCAGCAGTCCCGCGAGGGGCGGGCGCTTGACCTGTGCATACATTAACTCGAACTTTTTACGACTGGGACAACTACAGGCTATTCAGACTTGTATCTAGTAAAGGGACGTTCAATCAAATACACTAAGGGTTATTCCTATTACAGCTATTATGATCTATCTAATCTACAATTAAACAATATAGTAGTGTGGCCATAAATACTATTAAGATTTAAACGATATTCTATCCTAGTTTTCTATCCTATGCTAATCCCAGTTATAACACTGAGGTAAGTTAAGATACAAACATTGGACGCTGAAACAATTCAAGATACAAATATTGGACGCTGAGATAAGTCAAGTTAAAAACCTGAGATAATTTGTCAAGTAGAGAAAATTTTTTTTCAGGAAAACGTTTGAAATCTCCCTCAATAACTTATCGTAAATTTCGATGTTTAGCGAAAAAAACCCAGCTACAGGTAATTGATGTAACTTACGGGCCAAGGCGAGCAAACTGATAGATAAAAAAGTCCTCAAAATCATTATTACATTTAGTGTACTGGGCTTGGATACACTTCATGTAGTCTAGTGACAGTCTGGGGAACAGAAACAGGGAACATGTTAGAGGTTTGGTTCCATTTGGTGTACTGGGCTTGGATACACTTCATGTAGTCTAGTGACAGTCTGGGTAACTTAATGAATTTTTGTTTCTCTAACAATATTGTCTAAAATAAGTCAACATTACTTGCAATTAATTACGTACTTGTTATTTCCTAAATAAGTTGCAAAGTATGCTAAGTAAATCAACACATTTAGAGATAACCGCGCCAATTTATGAGAAATGATCTCAGGACAAAAGATCGTAAGGACAAATGATCTCATGGAAAAATATATCAGGACAAAATATATCAGGACAAATGATATCATGGACGATTGAACTCAGACAAAATATCCCAGACAAAATACCTCACAGCCAATTTGTACCTTGATTGTAGTTGATTTGAACTTTTTTTTATAGACTGTTAATATGGTTTTGTTTACTTTTTAACGTATCATAATTTAAAATTAAATGAATTTGTTGAACTTAACAAAGCATCAAAAGATTTATTAAACTAACCTTTGTAATAGTATTCGATGTTGAAAAATAAAAAATTAAAACAAACTTACTCCTTTAGCATGAATGGTATAATAAATGATAATGTATAGAACAAATACAATAACATTAATGTTCAAAACACGCGAAATATTTTTCAATAATGTGAATTGGTCTTCAGGTTCGTAACGTAAAACTATTGTTTTTATTGCATCATCAACACAAACGTTTACGTTTCTTTGCTGGCAGGTACATTTAAAATGTTTAGTACAATATTACAAATGTATACAGCAAGCATTTCTCACAATTATTATGTAGGCCTATAAACAATACTAAACATATTAAACAAAACCATATGACATTCAATTAAAAAGTTGTTCAGATCAGCTAAAATCATCCAATGCACTATTAAAATTTTGCTGTGAGATATTTTGTCGGAGATATTTTGTTTGAGATCAATTGTCCATGGTATCATTTGTCCTGATATATTTTGTTCTGGTATCTTTTGTCCGTGAGATCATTTGTCCTTGAGATAATTTGTCCTGAAATAATTTGTCCTGAGATCATTTGTCCGTGAGATATTTTGTCTGAGATATTTTGTCTGAGATATTTTGTCTGAGATCATTTGTCCTGTCACCCTTCCAGATAAAAACCTATTTCGAAAACGTATTGCTTAAATACACGTTCTAGATATAACTTTTAAAAATTGCACGTGTTACCTACTTATGAAACCTTATTCAAGGAACAAAATATTAGTATAAAAATATCATAGAAAGTGATGGTAATGTAAAGAAACTCAAAGATTGAACCCACTTGCATGAATGTTTCTCGATATCCGCTTGGTTGTTTGAGGCAAAGGCTGCCGTTAAGCTTTGTAATCTCTCGGCCGAGGTGGCTTCGATCTCGCATTGGTCACTGTCAGCTGACATCTCGCAGTCAATTAAAACTTTGTAGTCAAATGAAGCGAACTTTGACACTGCATGAAGTAATTACATCTGACAACACTGGTCAATTTTGTACACACTTTAAAATATTTCTACAAGACACGTGTTGAGTAGTTGTCAATTACATGACGTTTTGTTACACTGACCCATGACATGACATCTTGTAACACTGAGCCATGACATGACATCTTGTAACACTGAGCCATGACATGACATCTTGTAACACCGACCTATGACATGACATCTTGTAACACTGAATCATGACAGGGTATTTTAAAATAGAAGACTGCAAACTGTAATGTGGTCTTGTATCTACCTTTTACTCAACTTGAATTTTGCTTTATTTTTGTTTAGATTTTTATTTTCAGGGTTCTGGTTACTTAAGAATCTCACCTCATATGAGAACTAAACATTCAAATACGAAAACGTTTACAGTATATATCACAGTATATATCACCAGCCACACAACAGCATGAGCATAGATGTCGGTGTACGAAGTCGTGTTGTGCTTAAAATCTTTGTCTACTTGCTAACATAAACAAATAACTACTCAGTGGCGGAACTACAGTGCCGCCAGACCCCGCAATGCGGGGGAGGGGGGGGGGGGCAACCCGTTTAGGGGCCCACCGCCGACCATAATCAATTTTTTTTAGTTAATTTTTTTTCTTTTCATTTTTGAATTGATGGTTGTTTTGTTAAAATAATACTGTAGCTGCGTTTGTATTATCTTTATTCTATTTAAATAGTAAAATAGGGGTGATCATAAGCTCCTTTTAATAGATTTGTAATAAACAATTAAAAAGCAATTACTTCTCCATATTACTTTTTAAAAAAATACATACTAAAGAATAACATAGTATAAATTAATAATACAAATTTAAAAATACATAAAAATAAACATAACACAAGAAACCATTACATACACAAAGCTTTGATGCTTCTTATTCTTTTTACCGACTTGAGGTTAAGAAATATTACGGACGACATAAAAAAACCGGGAGTGATCTCCCCTAAACTTTCTCGAATATTATTATATAACTTGGAATATAGACATGATTTTTAATTACTTAAACTTTTAAAAATTTCATAAAAAACGTTTTAATAACAAGCTTTTATGTAATGATGCACTAAAAAGTAGAAAATAAATTATACACTACTATTTAAATTACTATAAAGAAAAGCGTGGGTCACTTTAGTACTTTAGTACCTATTGGATACCTTTACTAATATTTGAGAAGAGACCCAAATTTTCGGTCCAAATTTGAATTAATTCATAAAAAATTAATTAGGCATCCAATTAAGTCAAATTTAATTTCAGATTGCATTGTCTTCATGTCTTGACCCACGTGTCAAATGTGAATCGTATCTGTCAAGTAGAAGTGTCCGAATTTTCACTCCTGCGTTTCGATCTAGACTGACGACAGACAGACTGTCGACTGACGACAGAGGAAGTGAGTTAAATAAAAGCTTGTAAAAATAGAATAGAATCTCATAGAAAAAAGAATTGCGCAACAAGCGAACGCCTAAACAAAAAATGTGCATAATAGTGCGCAATATTATCAGTACTTTATAAATTTACATGCGTTTTTTAGAAATCGGAAATAGCGTACATTAGTACTTCCGGTCAACGGAAATTACCCAAAATTTGACAGAAGGTAGAGAATTAGATTTTTTACTTACATGTGAAATTTCGTTTATCTATCTGAAATAGTACTCAAGTTATCGGCTTTTGAAAAATTCAAAGTAGAAAAAGTGTCACTTTCGGTTGTCGGAAATCGCTCAAAAGTTGATCACGATCTACGATTTTGATAAAATACTTATATATGATATTTAATCAACC